CCACAACAGTTTTTGGGTAAAAAAAAATCCAGAATTCATACAGAAAGCTCCACAGGCCTGCTCTGGAGTAACTCCCTGCTTTCCCAATACCTGTCCATAAGGAGAAGCACAGGAATGTGTTACAGAGGGGGGGCCTTGCAGGCCACCCTCCCTCCCATCCCTCATTTCCAAACATCCTGGTCGTTAAACCTCCAGCACCCAGAGCTCAAGCTGCAAAACAGGTCCCATTCTCAGGTCTCCAGGCTGGCAGCTCCCACGCTGGTTCCACTGCCCTGCCCTGGCTCTGTGCCCACAGGTGAGGCACCGCCAGGGCAGGAAGTGCTGGTGTGGGCAGGTGCCTGCGTCACCCGGACCACACGCTCCACGTCACAGGGCACAGCACCCCGAACACACAGCCTGAGCCTGCCCTGGCCCACGGCACCCCGAACACACAGCCTGAGCCTGCCCTGGCCCACGGCCCCCGAACACACAGCCTGAGCCTGCCCTGGCCCACGGCACCCCAAATCACAGCCTGCACCCACCCTGGGCCATGGCACCCCACACACAGCCCCCTGCACCCCTATCCTAGTTCCTTCCCTTCCTGCATCCCCACTTTGGGAACCAGGCAGGACCCCCAGCCTCTCATTGCATTCCGGGGCCAGGACCCCCCACTCCTCCAGGGCCAGCAGGACATGGCTGCTCTGGCTCCCCACCTCCCCCAGGCGCCCCGGGGTGGGCCACCCACCCCATTCCCCTCCACCATGGGCCCAGAGCTCTCTGGAGCGAGCTCTCTGTGTCTCCCCTGTATACCCCGGCTGCAGGGGGATCCCCCTGCTCCAAGAATCCCCCACACCTCTCCAGCCACCAAGGGATGCACCCCTGAACCCCCCCATATTCCGGGGTGTAACCCCTGGGTGTGCCCCACATCCCACCTGTACACAGGGGTGCATCCTCTCGGGGGTCCCCTGAATCCCCCTGGCTACACAGGGCAGGGAACATCCTCCGGGGGTCCCCTGAATCCCCCTGGCTACACAGGGCAGGGAACATCCTCCGGGGGTCCCCTGAATCCCCCCATTTCCAGAGCTGTGTCCTGCGGGGGGTCCCCGTATCCCTGCGTACACAGGGGTGCATCCCCCCGGGGTACCCTGCATCACCCTCCCGGCATCCCTTGGACCCCTCCGCGTCCGGTGTAGCGGGGCACATCCCCGGGGTGCCCCCCAGCCCTCCCCGGCTCTCCCTGGACCCTGCTCCGGACGCGCAGCGGCCGCGACTCGCCCGCCTCGGGCCGCGCCCGCCGCGCCTCCCCCGGGGCGGCCCCGCGGCGGCGGGGGGACAGCGAGGGGGAACCGGGCCCCTCCCGCCCGCAGGGGAGTCCCTCCATGGCTCCTCCATCCTCACTCCAGCCTCCTCTCCATCCTCTCCCTCTCATCCTCCTCCATCTCCTCTCCGTCCCCGGTTACTGCTGAGGGGATCCCACCCTCACCGTGGGGACATCGCCAGGACTGGGGCGATGGCCAGGAGCCGGGTCTGGGCTGGAAACAGCCCGCGGGAAGGGGTCATGGAATTCCAGAAGGGTTTGGGTGGGAAGAGATCTTAAATCCCCTCCCACTGTCCCAGGTGCTCCCAGCCCCAGTGTCCAGCCTGGCCTTGGGCACTGCCAGGATCCAGGGGCAGCCACAGCTGCTCTGGCAATTCCAGCCCAGCCCCTCCCCACCCTGCCAGGGAACAATTCCCAATTCCCAAGATCCCATCCATGGCTGCCCTCTGGCAGTGGCAGCCATTGCCTGTGTCCTGTCCCTCCATCCTTGTCCCCAGTCCCTCTGCAGCTCTCCTGGAGCCCCTTTAGGCCCTGGGAGGCTGACTGGAGCCTCAGGAAGTTCAATAAGGTGAAAGGCAAAGCTTTGGCCGTGGGGAGAACAACCCAGACTCCACTATGTGGTGGAGGGCACTCAGCTGGAAAAGAGCTCTGGGAAAGGCCCTGGGGGTGCTGCTGGGCACGGGGTGGGGGGGAGCAGGAGGCAGCAGCGAGTCCCTGCTGCAGAGGGTGAGAGTTGTCCTGGGCTGTGTCAGACCCATGGTCAGCACTGGTGAGGCCACCCCGGAGTGCTGTGTCCAGTTCTGGGCTCTCCAGAACAAGAGAGACGTGGGCGAGCTGGAGAGACTCCAGCAAAGGGCCACAAAGGGTCAGGAGTACCCTATGGAAAGGGCCTGGAGTGTCCCATGCATGAGGAAAGGCTGGGAGGCTGGGGCTGATCGGCCTGGAGAGGGGTTTGGGGGATCTCACCAATGTACAGAAACACCCACTGCTCTACCAAGCCACTGGAGGAGTTTGTCAGTTGGCTGAGCTTGGCTTCCCCTGATCTGTCATCCTCAATGTGCCCGGAAATGCTTCCCAGGATTAGCTCCATCACCTTCCTAGGGATTGAGGAGAGGCCGATGTGTGCGCAGCTCCCTGGCTCCTCCCTGCCCTTCTGGAAGGTGGAAGTGACATTTGGTTTCCTGCAGCCTTCCAGACTCTTCTCTCCATCCCCAAGACTGGTGAAAGGTTGTTGAGAGTGGCCTCACGGTGCCACCAGTCCCTCCCTCACCCCTCGGGTGTCCCAGCAGGACAGGAATGGTTTTCAGTTTGCTGAAGCATGCCCTGCTCTGAATCCTCTCCCATGGAGGATCTGTGTTCCCTGGTGCAGCCTTTCCCTGTGGGATCTCTGGATTCTCTGGAGCCTGAAGATCAGGCTGGCAAGGGGCAAAGGCAGCATTCCTTTTCTCTGCCTCAGGCACTCCCCACCTCACGGAGCACTGGCCCTGTGTTTTATCTGATCTTGGCTTTTCCTCCTGCAGGAGCCCTTCTGCTGGATTTGGCACCACACCTTCCAGCTCCAGCACTCCCACCACCCCCAGCCCACCCAGCAGCCTGGACCCCCTCCCCTGCAGGGCCAGACCCGGGGCAGGGGGCTGAGGGTGGCACACAGCAGGTTTTTCCTGCTCTTCCTGCCCAGCCAGAGCCCAGCATGACCTCCCAGGGCAGTGAGTGCTCTGCCATGCATAATTCAGGGCTGGGATAAACCGGGAGGTGCCAGCCCACTTCCAGACCCTAAATTTAGGCAGAGGAGAAAGTCCATGAGTATGTGACAGCAGCAGACTCGGGGGCACAGGGCTGGGCCACATGTCCCCTTGTCCTTGAGGAAGAGGAGGGTGTCACACTTCTCGCTCCAAGGTAAAGCTCCGGGGTTTGGCCCCAGGTCAGCAGTTGGCACAAATCAATAAATTATTATCTGAGCCTCTGTGGGCTCCCAAAATCTGCTGGCAGGGCACAGCCCTGCAACAGGAGAGGTCAGCACCCGAAAACTGCTCTGATCTCAGCTGCTCTCAGGTTTCTCCTTTCCGGAGGCGCTGAGCACATCCTGCCCCGGGCACGGGTCTGGCAGCGCCCCGCGGCCCGGCCACCCGGGCTGGCTCTGACACAGCCCGGCACGGCTCAGGGGGCTCTGGCAGCTCCGCCTGCTCCTGGCTGGGTGCCAGAGCCCTGTGACATCCGCAGCGGGAATGTCCTTCAGTCCCTGTCCCTCGGAAGGACACATGGGCCGGGCAGGTGTTTGTCCCCTCGTCCTGCTGTCCTCGCAGGCACATGAGCTCGCTGGCACGCCAGGAGCAGGAATCCTTCCATGCACCCTGGAGGGACCAGTCCCGCCCCCGTCACTGTCCCCTGGTCCCTTTGACGATGCCACCAGATGGCAGTGGCGGAGTGAGGCCCTGCCGGACACCGGGGCGGTCACCGAGCTCCGTCCCTGCCGCTCCCGGAGCGCCACGGGCACGGCTGCCAGCAGGGAGAGGGTCCCCACCCGCCTGGCAGCGGTGTCCCCCACCAGAGGCCACCCTAGTGCCACCACCCCCCGCATCAGCCCCGGTGTCCCCATCTCGGTGTCCCCATCTCGGTGTCCCCTTCCCGGGAGGGGCCGTGGGCAGCGAGGGCCGCCCCGGGCCGGGCGGGAGCAGCGCTGTGACAGCCTTGTGACAGCAGTGTCACAAGTGACAGAGCCGTGACGGGCCCCGCACAGACCAGTTTCACTCACCCCGCACACAGGGGGGTGAGGATCGGGAAATGTGGGGTGGGACCAGAGGTCAGGGACATGGGGCTGCCGGCAGCCGTGCCAGCCCGTGTCCCACGGCTGGGAGCATCCCTGCATCCCAAGAAAATTCTTTTTTTTCCCCTCTGCCTCCCTTCTGCTGCTTCTCCTGCATCCCTCAGCATACCCCAGGCATCTTTCATTCATCAGGGCACCCAAAACCTCAAACATGGCTCATGAGGGCTCAGGGCCCCATTCCTGCCCCGCGGGGGGTTGTAGGGCTGGGGGAGCAGGGCCAGGAGCAGCTTGCCAGGGATGCCTGGAAAACAAACGCTCTCATGTGACTGTATCTGGGACAATACCAGCTTAGCTGTGGGTGCAGCCAGCAGGAATCCTGCAGCTCCCGAGCCCTGCTAGTCATGGATAAACCTACATTAGAGCAATTAATAATAATTAATAATCGGGACTGCATTTGGAAAAGCAGCTAAACCCAGCAGTGCTCTCCAAAGCATTGTCTAGCCAGGGAAATGCAGCCGTGGCACAAGGTGCAATTTTGGGGTGACGGGTTTGGGGTTGACAAACCCCTGGTCTGTGGGGCTGCCCCGCCTTGGGCATCCTGGGGGCTCCGTGGTGGGATTTAGGACACACAGGGTCCTTCCCCTCAGCCCCAGCTGCAGTCAGGCACATCCCAGCCTTGGGGGTTGGGGTCCCCCCACCCACCCTGTGCTGCAAGGAGGGGCAGGAATGGAGCCCCCCAGGTGCCTCTGCCCAGCTCTGCTGCCTCCCCCCAGGTGAGAATGGGGACAGGCACAAAGCCAGGCTGGGATGGGGAGGGTGGGTGCAAAAGGGCTGAGATGGAAGCACCCCCTTCCCCTGGTGCGAGGACGCCTCTGAGGCGGGCGGGGAATTGGTTTTCCACTGAGCTGCTCTGTAATAAACAGACACACACACGGGAGCAACAGGCAATTGCTGGGCCTTTAATTACAGCCAGCCAGGGTGTTCAGGGTCACAGGAGCCAGGATTCAGAGCCAGGGGAAATGAGGGGGATGATTTCCAGGAGGAACACTGCAGGAATCTGCAGAACCTTCTGTGCCTGAGCTCCTTTGTTGTCCATTTCATCCACCAGGACCCTCCTGTCTTCCCAGCCCAGAACATCTCAGATCCCAGAATTGTGGATAACAGAAATCCTGAGCTGGAAATCCAAAAGGATGAGTGGAAGGGGCCCAGAGGACCATGGATTCCAACCCCAGGCCCTGCCCAGACACCCCAACAATCCCACCCTGGGCATCCCTGGAGCATCCCAAAGGCTCCTGGAGCTCTGGCAGCCTCGGGGCCGTGCCCATTCCCTGGGGCACCAGCCCTGCAGAGCTGCCCAGCACAGGAGCCTGGTGGAGCCCCAGAAAACCCCCCGAGCCCTCTGACAGCCTTCCCACCCCTGGCATTGCTTCTGGCAAACTCACTGAGCAACCAGGAGCCTTTTCAAGGACCTTTTGCCAGTTGGAGATGTCTCAAAGGCCACTGGGGTGACACAGAGGCTGAGGGGCTGTCACTCAGCCTGTCCCTTGTCGTGTGCTGGGGTCTCCTCCCCGCAGCCCCTCCTGTCCAGGGGGATGAAGGGCTGGAAATGCTGTCCTTGAATCCTGCTTTGTCCTGGGCTCCCAGACACAGGGACAGCTGGGAGAGCTGCGGTGCCTCCCCACTGAGCTCGGACAGATGCTGTTTGTCTTTCTCCTGGCGGTGCCCAGACGCCTGCCTGGTGATGGATGGCAGTGTCACAGCAGAGATTCTGCGCTGTCACAACCACTGGGCCTCTCATGGGCTGGAAAATTTGGAGGGTTACTCCACCGTGAGCTGCATTTCTTCCCCAAGGATCCGAGTCACAGAGCTGGCAGGGCGAGGAGCCTGCAGGAGGAAGCAGCAGGGTGAGACCTTGCTCTGAAGGTGTCCTTCATCCACCTGGCAGGAGGAGCTGCTTCTTCCCTTCCTTTCTACCTGTTGTTCCTGCTTGGATCCTCAAGACCTGAGCTCCTCAATTTTCTTTCCTGGTGTCCAAAGCCACCCAACATCACCCAAAGCCACACAAAGACACCCAAAGTCACCCGAAGCCACCCAAATTCACCCAAAGCCACTGAACATCACCCAAAGAGACCCGAAGTCACCAGCCTTCCTCCCAACTCCCTCACGGGCCTCCCTGAGCCCCTCCACGCATTCCCCACGGCCCCTGGCTGACAGGACGTCTCCATCTGGGTGCACAGGAGCCAGGGCAATGCTGTGGGCATGTAAATTTGGGAGAGCTGCCCGAGGCACGTTTGGTTTTTGAGCCTCTTCATCTGCAGCCTTAGCGATTCTGCCTCTGGAGGAAGGGTTAATGAGCCATGGAGATCCAATTAGACTTCTCTGCTCGACCTTTCACCTCGTTCTTGCCAGTTAAAACCAAAAAGAGAAAAAAACCCACAAGTGGCGGTGTGGAGACAATTAGATCAGTGTCTGCTTAATGAGTTCATGGATCCAGCAGCAATATCCCTGTTTGACAGGAGAGGCAGGAGCCGAGCTGAGCCCACCCTGTGCCCTGTTTGCAGAGCCTTTTTGGGGTGCAGATGAGCCCCCCGTGGTTTGGGGCTGGCTGCCCGCGCCCCAGGGGCTGCCAGGGCTGTTGTTTGTCAGCCACAGCAGCCAGCCGGCCTTTCCCACCGCGCTTTTGCAGGATCGGGGATCCTAACCAGCTCCAGATGCTCGGGATGGGTGGGAGCAGCGCGGAGAACCGCGGGGTGGGAGCGGACCTGGCGCTGCAGGGCGGGCACGAGCCCCGGACCCCACGGAGCACCCGGGGTGACAGATGCCACCAGCGCGGGGCTGGCGGGGTCCCCGCGGTGCTGGCAGCCCCCCCGGCCCGGCGCTCCAAGCCCCACGTGGCCGTGCCGAGCAGATTTTGCTTGGCTGCCTGGGCTATATTTAGCCGCCTGTAAAAGGGGTTAGCGAGCAGCGCTGGAGCCAGTGGCACAGCTAAGAATGTCAACGTAAGAGCAGCCAGGGATAAAAAAAGCCCAGGCCGGGCGCTGGGAGCTTTGTGCAAATCCCCGTGCCCGCATCTCCCGGTAGCACCGGGCCGTGGCCACTCCCTGTCCACCCACCCCGAGGCTCCTCAGAGTTTTGGGGCTGGTTTGCAGCGTCCCTGAGCTCAGCTGGGCACTCAGAGGTTGGGATCGGGTGGGTTTGGTGAAACCCCCGAGTTCTGGGGGCTGGTGTACCCCTCTGTGCTCAGGCAGGAGGCACAAGGCGCTCTCCAGAGCTGGGAGGTGTTTGTGAGGCTCCACATCCCCATCCAGGCATCTGGAAGTTACTGGAGCATGAAGAATAGATTTGAGCGCTTTTTTTGCCCATGAACACTTTTTTTTGGGATGCTGCCTTTCTGCTCCAGCAGACCTTTCCTGCCTACGCTCCCCTCGCCGCCCTGATCTGGCCCCTAGAACGGGGCAAATCCCACCCCATCCCTGCTCTTCCTGCCACATCCCAGCTCTTCCCACCCTTTTTTTGCCCATGAACACTTTTTTTTTGGGATGCTGCCTTTCTGCTCGGTTAACTCCAGCACACCTTTCCTGCCTACGCTCCCCTCGCCACCCTGATCTGGCCCCTAGAACGGGGCAAATCCCACCCCATCCCTGCTCTTCCTGCCACATCCCAGCTCTTCTCACCACATCCCAGTTTATCCCACAGCATCCCACACCTGGGCAATGTGCCCCATCCCATCTTCTCCCACCCCTTCCCAGATCTTCCTGCCCCATCCCAGTTCTTCCACCCCATCCCAGCTCTTCCCAAGCCCTCCTGTGCTGCTCTGAGCTGTCCTGACCTTGTCTGGGCTCACTCCTGCCTGTGCAACCCAGGCTGCTGCCCCTTCAGCCAATCCCAGAGCCAATGCACAGGCAAGGTGGTTTCCTGAGCTAATTCCCAGAAATAATTTGCACGTTCTGCTGGTCCACTGGGGCAGGGGATGAATATTTTGGTGGCTGAGCCCCGAGAGAGGCACTTTGAGTCATTCAGTGCCCCTTTTTCCCCCAGCTCTTGTGATGAACTGGCAGCAGGATGAGCTTTGGGCTGGGATTGCGTCTGGCTGCGGGATCCACCTCACCTTTGGGTCAGGAGGGAGCTTCTGCTGCTGCAAAAACAGCAACAAATCATTCTTTTGGTTGAAATTTTCCATTCTGCCGGGGACAGGAAAGCTGCAGATGAGTTGCAAAGACCTGTGCAACTCACTGCAGATATTCCAGCTGCCCCGACAGCCTGAAATGGGGAATAAAATCAGGGAGAGCAGCTCGTGTGCTGTCCCTCAGCAAGGCAGGATGCTCTGGGCTGGGCACACGCTGCGGGGGGAGGATCTCCAGAAGCTCCCTGATGTCCTGGGGGCAGGTGGAGCTGCAGAATCCTGTGCCCTGCAGATCTCCAGAAGCTCCCTGATGTCCTGGGGGCAGGTGGAGCTGCAGAATCCTGTGCCCTGCAGATCTCCAGAAGCTCCCTGATGTCCTGGGGGCAGGTGGAGCTGCAGAATCCTGTGCCCTGGCAAGGACAGGGCAGAGCAGCACACTGGGATGCAGATGGCAGAGTTCTGGAGGGTGCCTGGGAAGGGCACTGCTGCAGCTCTGAGATGTCCAGACTCTGCTCAGTGTGACGCCCCAGCCTGCCTGGTGACAAATCTTCTCCCCGGGAGCTCTTTGCTGGCATTTTCCCTCTGCTTTGAAAGGGAAAGGAAATGCTCGCTGCCTTTGCCCCTGAGATCTCACAGGCAGGAAGGTTTTCCCCAAGGGTGTTCCCTGCAGATCCATCCCTCAGGAGCCACCTCCATCACTCCAGGGTGGCCTCGAGGCCATGTCCTGCTGGAGCTCATGGAAAGTCCCAGCCCTCAGCCAGGGAACAAGTTGCAGGTCCCCAAACCCTGTGACCCGTGTCCCAAAATAGCCCCTTAAGCGAGCACTGACGCAGCCCCTGGGCTCAGGAATAACCTTCCCTGCACGTCACCTGTGTCCCCAGCAGGCAAGCAGGGCTCAGCCGGGCTGGAAATCGGAAAGGTGCAGCTAAAAGAGGAACAGCAAAGGGCTGCTCTGCCCCAGCAGTGACTTTTAGCCCAGATCAGAGCCCGCAGTGCTGGGCAGGGGAGAGGAACACAGCTCTGCTCCCTGCCTGCTGCCTCCAGGAACGCCAGGAGCTGCCCCAGACCTGCAGCAGCCCGAGGGTCCGTGGGGTTTATTGACCCTCCTGCCCCAGGGGGATAAAGCAGCAGGGCAGCAGCAGCAGGAGAACAGATTCTTCCAGACTGATTTTCTCCCAGCTCTGGAACCTGGGTTTTTAGGGGAAAATAGGGTTTAGAGCAGAGCAGAGCAGGGAGCAGCCTGAGCCCGTCCTTGCTGGCTTCACATCCCTGATGGATCAATCAGGGGCTCTCCCAAAGCTCACGAGGCAAAATGATATATTTTAGGCTCCTCAGCAGCAGGGGCCCCTCATCCTGCTGGGAGCATCCTGGGAAGAGGATCCCAAGGTCTGCAAAGCCCCAGAGCAGCAGCTGGAAGAGCAGAGGGAGCGCAGAGCAGCCTTTGGCACCACGCTGGGGCAGCACCAAGCACCACAGCCCTGCCCTGGACCAGCTCCCAATGGGAGCTGCCTGAGCAGGGAATAATTTTGGAATAATTTTGGAAAAATTTTGGAATAATTTTTCCTTTCCCAGCTGCTGTCCTGAATCCCTGGAGCTCCAGCTGAGGCTCTGGGCTGCGGCTGCACAGCATGCCCTGGATGCAGGAGGGTTGGGAGAGGTTATTCCGTGTCAGCAGAAATATGGAGGCAGGAATGTGGAATCCCTGGCAGGATATGGAGGCACTCACACACCTCTGGCGTGCCTCAGTTTCCCCAACTCCCCCAGCCCAGCCATCCCAAAGGATCACATTGGTGTGGCTGCCCTTCAGCCGTCCCAGGGCAGAGCATCCCCGGGGCCGCTCGGCAGCTGGAGCGAGGGAGAGCTCTCCAAGGTGCTCCGCAGCACCGCGGGCTCTCCTCCTGTCCCTTGCCGTGCCCGCAGCACCCCTCCCTCGCTCCCAGCCGTCCCCTCGGCCCGCGACAGCAGTGTCACATCCGATCGGGTGCCAGGCAGGATAAACATCGCCGCTGCTCGGCCCGAGACTGCTCCGGAGCGGGGAGACAGTCAAGGAGAAAGCGGAGCGTGAGCAGCTAAAAATAGCGGCTGGCGAAGGCTGCGAGCTGCCACCCGCCCGGGCGGCCAGCGCCACCGTGTCCCTGCCCTGGCTGCCGGGACCGCCGCCGCAGCCCCGCCGAGGTTTTGGGGTGCAGACACGGGCAGCGGCCGTGTCCTGGAGGCGCCTGGCCGTGTCGCTGTCCCCTGGCGGGGTGCGGGGCTCGGGAAGCATCGCCCGTCCCGGGGCAGCAGCACCGCTGCCGTGTCCCCATGGGCACCCGGGCTCCAGGGGAAGGGACGCGATGGACACCGCGCTCCGGGTGCTCAGCATCGCCCGTGGCCACCGGCAGCGAGAGGAGCTGGGCCAGAGCCGGGAATTTGGGATCACGCCCCAGCCCCGCTCCTGCTGGGAGCAGCGTGCCCCTGCAGGGATGGGGAGCAGGGACCCCCTCACCCGCGGGGTCCCTCCCAAAGTGCACCCCGCTCCCCCAGCCCTGGGGACAGCCGCCTTCAGGGCCAGGAGGGACATTTTGGAGCCTGTCACCAACCTCACGCGTTTCCCAGCGGCAGGGATGCCGAGGGAAGCGTTGGGAGGTGGTTACTGCTGCCGGGTGGAATTCCAGTCGCTTTTAATTCCCGCTCTGCCTCCCCCACCTCGCTGCCCTGGCCCAGCTCGGGGGTGGGGTGAGAACCCCCACCTCACACCCTCGGCGCTGTCCCCCCCTCAAGGTGACAGCGGTGTCAGGCCAGGAGGAGCTGGTGGCATCTGCTCCGCGCCCAGGCTGTGCCAGGCTGTGCCCAGCGAGCAGGGCACAGCGCGGGCTGTGCCGTGATCCGCTGGATTTGCCAGCCGCAGTCAGGGTCTCCCAGCCCCCCGCCCCCTCCCCCACCCACCACATGCCACACGGGTGCAGCCACGGATCCTTTAATTCTTTTTTCGCCCCAAAGATTCGGAGCCTGTCAATGATTTTGGCCGCACTAAATGGAGCTGTGTGGGCTGGGGTCAAATTGTCCTGCTGGGGGAGCAGAGCCCCCTCAACCCACCCCACCCGGGGGACTCTGCAGCCGGGGAGCCGAATCCAGAGGGCATCGAAGGGAAAATTTCCCTTTTCCCAGCAGGGCTGGTGGCCACGCCGAGCTGCGAGCCCCCCGCCCGGGCTGGGGGTCCAAGCGGGGCAGAGTCACCCGGAGCTTGCGGCCCGGGGGGATGTCACAGCCCTCCCTCCCCTTGTGTCAGCGCGGGGGGACGCGGGGACACAGCAGCCCGGGGGGGCGAGGGGCGGCCCCGGCGGCGGGGGGAGAGCTCGGCCCCGGGTGCCCCAGGGCCGCCTGGAGCCGGAGGCTTCCCCGCGGCTCCTGCCGAGCGCGGAGCATCCTTCCCCCGGCAGCCGGGCTGGCACCGGCACCGGCATCACCACCGGCACCGGCACCGGCACCGGCATCACCATCGGCACCGGCACCGCACCGGCATCACCCCCGGCACCCGAATCAGCATCAACAGCGGCACCGGCATCGCCCTCGGCACCGACATCCCCATCGCCCCCGGCACCGGCAGCAGCATCAGCACCGGCAGCGGCAGCATCACCTTCGGTGTCACCGTCACCCCCGGCCTCGGCACCGGCACCGGGATCGCCGCTGGCACCAGGTGAGCGACCGGCGGCTGCTGGGGACAGGTGACGTGGTGGCACCGAGGCCCTGGGCCACCGCGGAGCATGTCCTTGTCTCACCGGGGCGAGGGACCTGGTGTCCACCCCGGGCACCTCCCTGGGAAGATGGAGAGGCCGGAGGGTCGGGGGTGGTGGTGGCCTCGGGGACAGATGTGTTTTTAGGGGATGGAAGTTGGCAGCAGCTGCGGTGGGGTGTCTCTCGAGGGCTTGGGGTGTCTGTGCCACCCCCCAGGGCCAGGGGGCTCAGGGGAGGATTTGGGGGTGCAGTGCTGAGGCACCGAGCAGGGCTCGTCTGTCTCGGGGTGGGCACTCAGATCAACCCCCGTGGCGGCACCTCTGTCGCAGCCTGGCACCCACCCTGTTCATGTCCTGGGCCATTACTGCCCCCTCCACCCTTCCTCCTGCCCTGTCCTCCTCTCAGCTACCGCTCCCACCCCACCCCCAGCTCCAGCCCTCAGCTTCCCGGGTTGGAGCTTCCCAGGCGATTTGGGCCCGGGGCGCTGCGGGGGTCCCCAGGCACGGGGAGCCCCCCAGGGCTGAGCAGCCCGTGCAGGGGACACGCTCCTGTGGTGCTTCCTCCCGGGAGGAAAGGGCTTCCCCAGGGACAGCCGCTCCTCCCCGCCTTCGGGGCATCGTTTTGGCAGATTGCCCCTGCAGATGCTTGGATCGGGTCCCTTTGGTCCCCGGAGCTGGCTGCTGTCCCCTGGCTGGGTGGCAGCGCCACCGAGGAGGTGGCAGAGGCAGGATGTCCCGTGTTCACCCCGAAAGCTCCCAGCCCGTGACCTTGGGGTGTCCACCAAGGGACACCTCAGTCCTGGCTGTCACAAGGGGACCCGGCCCTGCCACTGCTCCCTGTCCTCACCCTTCCCTGCTCAGCACCATCTCCCCCCAAAAGCAGGAGGTGGGGGAGGGGAAAGGTGGCGGCAGAGCCAGGTTCTCACTTTGGATTGAGGGAATCCCAGCATTTCTGCCCGGCCTGGGATGCCGGGAGGCAGAGTGGGGGTGCTCTGGGGGTTTGGTTGTGAGGAGACCTTGGGGCTCAGCTCCTGGGGCAGCTGGAGGAGCTCTGCTGAGTGCTCCATACTTTGGGGGACCTGGAACAGTGAACAGGGTGGGGACCCCGGCCCTGCCGTGCCCTTGGCTCCTGGAACGGCAATTCCAGCTCCTGGAATGGCAATTCCAGCTCCTGGAATGGACAATTCCAGCTGCCTTGGCTCGTGGAATGGCAATTCCAGCTCCCTTGGCTCCTGGAAAGGGCAATTCCAGCTCCTGGAATGGACAATTCCAGCTCCTGGCTCAGCCCTGGGCCACTGGGACCGGCTCTGCTCCATCACGGATTTCCAGCCATGCCTCTGATCCCAGAGCAGCTGCCCAGATTTCTTCCCTCCTCGGCTGTTGGTTCTCTCCCCGCCAGCTTCCCGGGGTTGGGGTTTTGTCCCAGGGCGGTGGCAGCTGGAGGATCCTGGTGGTGCTCCCACCCTCGGTGCAGGGAAACATCTGGATCCCCTCCATGCAAGGCCTGACCGCTGGGTGGGGGCTGCTGCCTCGGAGCTGGGTGTCCTGGAAGTTCCCACCTCCCCTTGGCTGAGCTGCAGAGGGAAGGATCCGGCATCCAGGGGCTGGGGCAGCCGTGCCCAGGGCTCCCCAGAGAGCCAGAGCCCCCAGGGAAGCTCCAGCTGCCTCTGCTCCCTGGAATTCTGGCTGCCTGCACTTCTCCCGGTGCTCTGGCAGGGCTGGGAGCCTCCTCCAACCCCAACTGGAGCAGAGCCCTCCCCGGGTGCCACCAGGGGCAGAGGGAGAAGGAGCTCCTGCAGGGAGATGAGGGTCACACAGTGCCCGAGCTCTGGTGTCACCCAGCCCCTGGCACTCCCGGCATGGCACAGCCTGGGACGTGCTTGGTGGCACCCAGCTGGCACCCTGTGACAGCCCGCAGCTCCCTGGGCTTCCCCTGGCACCAATCCCGGTGCCACCCACGGCTCCACGGGCAGGAGAACCGAGGGTGTCCCCATCCCCATCCCCGGATCCTGTCCAGCAGCTCCAGCCGGGGCTGGGGCAGAGGCTGAAAACCCTTTGGGGAGGAGGGAGCCTGAACCTGGCGGGGAGTGGGACTGCTGTGCATGTGGGTGACACGTTTATTATGCAAAATTACCTGGTTTTATTACGCAAAATTACAGTTTGTGGCGTGTTGGAGCAGGGAACTGAGGGTTCTGCTGGGAGCTCCATTACCAGGGCTCAATCACCCTGATTACCCTCATTAGATCCCTTCCTTCCCCACGGAGATGCAGAGCCAGAGCTCGGACTCCCAGAGCAGGGCTGGGTTATCCAGGTGCCAGCTCCATCTCATGGGGCTGGGGGTGGCTCCCATCCCCTCATGCCAAAGGGGCCGTGCTGTTTCCCCCTGGGACTCAAAAAGGAGCCGGATGCAGCCGATGGCACTGAGGAATGTGGGGAAGGGAGGCTCACCCAGCACCTTTGTAGGGTCCCTGACGGGCACCCAAACTCCCCAACAGGAATTCCTCTGCTCCTCCCACCACTCCAGCTGATTACCTTTAATCAGTTAATTAAAGGGAATTAACTGATGGGGGTGGAGGATGGAATAGGAATAGCTCTGGATCAGGTCATGGCCTGCAGTCTGGACAACACCTGGCTGGGAGTGGCTGGAGCAGCTTCCATTCCTTCCTTCCTTCCTTCCTTCCTTCCTTCCTTCCTTCCTTCCTTCCTTCCTTCCTTCCTTCCTTCCCTCCTTCCCTCCTTCCTTCCCTCCTTCCTTCCCTCCTTCCCTTCCGCCACTTCCTCCCCCTCTCTCCCCATCCCCACCCAAGCCCCTGTGGGGTGAGGGTCTCTCCCTGCCGGTGCCAGGTTGGATCCCAGAGCTGTCCCCTCCCCCTGGCACTGGGAATGAAGGGCTGCCAGCCCTTGGGATTTGTCGTGTTCCCACAGGGAATATCCATGGCTGGTGGTTTTGGGTGCTTTTCCCCTCCCTGTGCTGCAGAGGGGACATGGCTGCTGTCCCTCCCGTGCTTTACCCAGCACAGGGGTCAGGGCTGCCCAGGGAGCTGATCCCTGCCCGGGGTGCCCTCCTGCCAGCGGAGCCCCCAGTGCCCCTGGCAGAGGGGCCTCGCCCTCACAGCCCCACAAACGCCGCTCCACGTGCTGGGAAAACCAGAACTCCTCGTTAGGAGCACACAGTGATGGGAACGTTCCCCGGAGAGCAGCAGTGAAGTGTGCTGGGCTGGGAGCACCAGGGGTGGGGAAGGGGAGCTGGGGTTTGGCCGTTCCCTCTCTGGGCGCCGTGGGCAGCACTGCTGAGGCTCTCCAGGTTTTCCATGCCCTCCCCTGGAGGTTTGGGATGCAGGATGGAGCCCTGCAGTGCCAGCCCATGTCCTCGTGCCTCTGAGCCTGTGGTGCTTTGCTCTTTATTTGGAGCAGCTCAGGCCTGTCCAGGGTTGGAATCCAGGGGTCCAGAGGGAATCGCACATCCAGGTTTGCCTGCTGCTTTTCCAGGATGCCCCGTGTGCTGCTCCCAGGGGAAAAACACCTCGACTCCATCCCAGTGGGGACTCGTGGGAGATGCTGAGCTCAGCAGGGGTGTGCCAGGGTGAAACTGCTGAGTCCCCTGGAGCGCTGTTCCCTGCCCAGCCCAGGCCTGCGGGATCCTGAGGGGATTTACTCCGGGGTCACTGCCCTGTGGGGAACCCGAGCCCTGAGGTGGTGTGAGCACCCCCAGGACTGGAAGCACCTGGATTTGGGTTGGCAGAGTTTGGGTTTGCTCAGGGAAATTTAGGATTGGGGTGTCCGGGAGCACAAGAGGGTTCACTCCCACACTGGAGCATGGCTTGCTCTGGTTTGTGTTTGCAGCACTAAAAACCAAAGGGACAGTTTATACAAACAGCCTGAAATCCCTTCTGGACAGACTCAGCTTGGATGTTAGGCACAGCTGAACTCTGCCATCGTGCCCCTGAGTGACAGAGAAATAACACAGCCCCTGCTCGTGCCGGCGGCTCCATTCCGCGGATGGCAGCAGCAAACCCCTCCTCCCGTGCACATCGTCCTGCTGGAAGCCGGGAATTGCAGGGAATGGAGATTACCAGCGTCCCATTTCAGAGCCCTTCCTTCTCCTTGCCTTCACCAGGAATTTAGGTCTCAGTATCCCACAAGCCCAGCTGAGCCCCTAAATAGAAGGGTTTATGCTCTGCCTAGGCTGGTATTAGCTGGGACACAGCTCAGGTTTTGTGTGGAAATAAAAATTCCGAGTCCTACAGCTGGGAAAAAAAAAAAAAAAAAAAAAAAAAAAAAAAAAAAAAAAAAAAAAAAAAAAAACCAAAAAAAAAAAAAAAAAACAGACCACTAAAAAATAAGTCATAGAATCCCTGGTTGGAAAGGACCTTAAATCCCACCCAGTGCCACCCCTGCCATGGCACGGACACCTCCCACTGTCCCAGGTGCTCCCAGCCCAGCGGGTCCGAGGAGGAAAAAAAAAAAAAAAAAAAAAAAAAAAAAAAAAAAAAAAAAAAAAACACAACAGACCACTAAAAAATCAGTCATAGAATCCCTGGTTGGAAAGGACCTTAAATCCCACCCAGTGCCACCCCTGCCATGGCAGGGACACCTCCCACTGTCCCAGGTGCTCCCAGCCCCAATGTCCAGCCTGGCCTTGGCCACTGCCAGGGATCCAGGGGCAGCCACAGCTGCTCTGGGCAGTGAGACCATAACTGTGCAAAAGGCAGCAGAGGATGAAGGCTGATCTTTAAAAGGACCCCTGGGATCCAGGAAGAGGCCTGGGTGGAATAATTCAGGATTTGGGTGTGAGCAGGCGTGGGACTGAGCCTAAAGCTGGTCCTGGCCATCTGCAGGGCAGTGATGGGGACCAGGCAGGAAGCAGGGGAAGGGATGTGAGCGTGATGGAGGGGACAGAGACCCTTCAACATTTCCCAAATCCATGGGTGACACAATCCCAGCACAAACAGGAGTGGTGGAGAAGAGAGCAAGCCAGTCTGGATGTGAGGATGAGTGTGCAAGAGCAGGACGAAGGTCAGAGCTCAAGGCAAGACACAACAAGAGGGAGCTTAGAGAGTGATGGGAATTCCTCTGGAAGTGGAATTATCCCAAAAGGGGGATCTGCTGCTCCACGGAGTGGGAAGCAGTGGGAGCCATTTGTCCAAAGCCTTTGGAACAGGGCTTTGCTGGGGAGGGAATCCTAGGGAAGAGCCAGCCTTGAGGGTACCAGGATGTGCCACAGCTTTGGGGAGCTGCCAGTGTCACCCCTGCTTAGAAATCCCAGTGGAACAATTCCTCAGAACTTTGGGAAAGAGCCAGGGAGGAAAAGAGCCAGAGGAAAACTGGGGAAAAACCAGTGGGAGATATTGCTGGTGTTCCAAGCAGGATGCAGGTTTGCTTGCATCCCTGCACTGCTTCACTCCAGACATCACTCCCAAGGTGCCAGTGAGATCTGAGCTGGCCAAAGTTCCTGCCTGGCCCACCTGGAATGCTGCGGATTTAGGGATGAAAATGCCAGGCCATGGTTGGAGAGGTTGTGCTGCCCAGGGCAGGCAGGGGGGTGCCAGCATCCCATGGGAATAGGTCTGGAAGCTGCATCCCTGCCAAGAGGGATCATCCTCTCCAGACACTTCCTGGTGTGGAGCACAACCTGTTCCAAAAGTCATTCTGCACCTCCACGTTCAACATTCCTGCACCAGACCACATTCCTGAAGGTTTTTTCCCCTTTCCCAGGAAACAATGAGTTCAGGACAGTATTTATCCTCCTTTCCTCTCCCTGGGATCCTGGAGCTGTCCCTGGGCAGGTGACACAGCCCGTTCCCACCTGGCTCAGCATCCCTGGGGCTCCAGCAGCCTGCAGCCACTTCCCTGGAGAGGAGCTGAACCTGCAGCCTCCCCGGGAGAGCTCCTGGCTCTCCAGATTTTATCCTGTGTTTAATTATTGCCATCTGCTGCTCCCGGCTCCGGGGCTGCTCGGGCTGTCTGGTGGCTGTCGGGCTCTGGTTAAGCCAAGCCCATTGGATTTCCCTCCCGTGTGGACTCCTGGCTCATTTTCCTGGATGATGCTCCCATTCCCTTCTGACCTGAGGCATCTCTTTCCTTCCCATTCCCCTCAATTTTACAGTTTCATCTCACTAAATCCTTCCCATTTTTCATCATGTTCATCAGCGTTGAGGAGTAGCTGGTGGATTTTTGGAGGGTTTGTTCCAGGCTGCAGCATTCCCAGCACAAATCCCACAAAATGTTGAATTAAACGAGCAGGAGGAACACCCCAGAGAGAGCAAGCCAAGATCATTAAATGCCCCAATCCCCCTTCCAGAGGAGCTCCTGACCCACTAACAACTCAGAAGGTGAAGAAGCAAATCCTTGTAATTAAATGAATCCTCAAGATTCCTGTAGCACCTCCCAGGTCCTAAATTCCTGGAGCATTCCGGGTTTGCTGTGTCTGGTGGGGGGAGAGTCCGGCCTGCTATGCCAGCACACATCAGAGGTGTGTGTCCAAGGTGGTCCCCGGGCTCCAGGTGCAGTCTGGGGTCCCTGCCACCCCCAGCAACCCCAAAAGGTTGTGTTGGAGGGGACACACTGATGCTCAGGGGATCATGGATGTGTTTGACCCTGACCTGGGTTCCTTTGACTGCTCCAGCCCCAGGTGGGTCTCACCCTTCTCTGCCCCTTCAGCACCTTCCTCCCCTCCTGCAGGGCTCTGTGTTCCCAGGGAACCTGACCAAGGAGCTCGTCCCTGGCCATCTCCTCCCTCCACCTCTCCCAGCACCTTCCCTGCCCATCTCCAGCAGGGATTAAGGCTTATTTCTGCCCTTCCCTCCTCTATCCCATTAGGGGCATTAAAGCAGGAGCCAGGAGCCCCGAGGACCTTCCATGTGACTCCAGGAGCTTTTTTAGGCTGAGACCACACTAAGCCACCAAAACTGTCCCTGCTTAGAGGGGGGAAATCCTCACTCCCCGGGTTTATCCAGGGGCATTTGCCCCCTTTGGGTTGGAATTGCCTGTGGGACCTGGAAGTCGTGGCATGGGGCAGGTGTTGGTGGCTTGGCCATTGTCCCCAGGGGTGCAGGGACAGCGATGCTGCATCCCAGGAGAGCTCAGGCAGTGACAGCCCCGGGCTGGGCCCGGCCAGCAGCAGGGTCCTGATCCCCCTGGGGCTTTCGGAGCGGGGTCCGACCCCGTCCCCGTGGCTGGGAGCCGCGGGACGGGCCCGGGCAGCAGCAGCGGTCCCGGGGTTCGGCACTCCCGGCCCGGCGCTGCGCAGCGGGAGCGGGAGCGGGAGCGGGAGCGGGAGCGGGAGCGGGAGCGGGAGCGCTGCGGCTGGGGAGGAGCTGCGAGCCCGCCGGGGCTGCGGCCGGGCCGGGGCGGGGATGTGGGGCAGGGAGTGTGAACACGTGTGTCTGAGTGTGAACACGTGTGTGTGAGTGTGTGAGCATGTGTGTGTGAGTGTGTGAGTGTGTGAGTGTGTGAGTGTGTGAGCATGTGTGAACACGTGTGTGTGTGTGTGTGAACACGTGTGTGTGAGTGTGTGAGCATGTGTGTGTGTGAGTGAGTGTGTGAGTGTGTGAGTGTGTGTGAGTGTGAACACGTGTGTGTGCGTGTGTGTGTGCACACGTCTGTGAGTGTGTGTGTGAGCATGTGTGTGTCTGACGGTCTGTGAGTGTGTGTCTGAGGGTGTGTAAATGTATGTGTGAGTGTGCACATGTGTGTGTGGGTGTGTATGTGTTAGTGTGTGTGTGAGTGTGTTTGTGAGAAAATGTGTGCACACGTGTGAGTGAGTGAGTGTGAAAATGTCTGTGTGCACATGTGTGTGTGCACACATGTGTGTGTGAGTGTGTATGTGTGTGAGAGGGTGTGTGTGTGCAAACGTGTGTGAATGTGAGTGTGTGTGCACACGCGTGTGTGTCTGTGTGTGCAAATGTGTGTGTGATTGTGACTGTGCACACGTGTGTGTGTCTGTGTGTGCACACGTGTGTGTGTGAGTGTATGTGGGCATGTGTGAGTGTGTCAGTGTGTGTGTAAGGGTGTATGTGTGTAAGAGTGTGTGTGAGTAAATATCTGTGTGTGCATACGTGTATGTGTGAATGCGTGTGTGTGAGTGTGCAAACGTGTGTGAATATGTGTGAGTGTGTCAGCGTGCGTCAGTGTGTAGTGTGAGTGTGAACACGTGTGTGAGTGTGTGTGTAAATGTGTGTGAGTGTGAACAGGTATGTGTGAGTGTGTGTGAACGTGCAAACGTGTGTGTGCACACGTGTGTGAGTGTGAACACATGTGTGTGCGTGCATGTGTGTGTATGCACATGTGTGTGTGTGTGTGTGCACACGTGTGTGAGTGTAAACGTGTGTGTGCATGTGTGTGTGTCTGTGAGTGTAAATGTGTGTGCACGTGTGTGTGAGCATGTGTGTGTCTGAGGGTCTGTGAGTGTGTGTCTGAGGGTGTGTCAATGTATGTGTGAGTGTGCACATGTGTGTGAGTGTGGGTGTGTATGTTAGTGTGTGTGGAAGGGTGTGTGTGAGTGTGTGTGAGCTTGTGTGAGTGTGTTTGTGAGAAAATGTGTGCACACGTTTGACTGAGTGTGAAAATGTCTGTGTGCACACATGCGTGTGTGAGTGTGTGAGCATGTGTGTGAGGGTGTGTGTGTGCAAACGTGTGTGAATGTGAGTGTGTGTGCACACGCGTGTGTGTCTGTGTGTGCAAATGTGTGTAGGGGATCCTCAGGGAATCAGGCCGTCCTTCATCTGGAGCCCCCATGTCAGAGCCCAGCGTTCCCCCAGCCCGCTGTCCCCAGGTGCCACCTCCCCGTGGCTGCTGCTCCCTCCTGCTGGCTCCTGCGCAGCCCTGCCCGTGCAGGATTTGTGCCCAAAGCCCGCGGCACGCCCGCAGTGCGTGTGCTCGTGTGCTCACCCCGCCACACACGCGTGTGCTCCCCGACATCCCGGGGACACGGCGGGACAGCGCCGGGCATGTCACACGTGTCCCCTGCCAGGCCTTGAGCGGCGGGTGGGACAAACTCTGGGACAGGGAGGTGACACGGCTGTGGCACTGGGAGCCAGGAAGTGCCACACGTGCAGACACAGGGACAGGGAGGGTCACACAGCGCGGCAGGGCTGTCACACAGGCACAGGCTGCCAGAGAGTGCCACACATGCACACAGGGGTGACAGAGAATGTCACACTGTCACACAGCCTTGTCAGGGAGTGCCACACATGCACACAGGTGTGACAGAGAATGTCACATGTGCACACACCTGTATGGCACATGGAACAGCCCAGCCTGAGGTGACACACACAAACACAAACACGTGTGACAATGCACACACATGACAATGCACAGATGTGACACTGCACACACATGTGAAAATGCACAAATGTCTGACACTTCACACACCTGTGACACTGCACACACCTGTGACAATGCACACCTGTGGCACTGCACACACCTGTGCTGGAGCAGCACAGGTGGCTCCAGGGGGCAGTGGCCGTGCAGGTGTACAGGGAACCTTTGTCCCCACCCCTGCCTTTGTCACCGCCAGCCCGGCCCCCGTGCCTCAGTTTCCCCCTGAGCAGCGCCCGGGTCCTGCCCCTCATGGCACAGCCACGCCAGCACTGATCACCAATTGACGAATCACTAATCACCTCCCGGGTTAATCATTTCTTTCTCCCCCTCCCTGCAGCTGTGGCCACCCCTCCTGTGCGCACAGCACCTGCGCCCAAGGACCTTGGCTCGTCCTCCCGGCCCTGATTCCCAGCAGGAATTCCCAGTGACTCCCAGCAGGAATTCCCAGTGACTCCCAGCAGGAATTCCCAGTGACTCCCAGCAGGAATTCCCAGTGACTCCCAGTGACTCCCAGCCCTGATTCCCAGCAGGAATTCCCAGTGACTCCCAGCAGGAATTCCCAGTGACTCCCAGCAGGAATTCCCAGTGACTCCCAGCAGGAATTCCCAGTGACTCCCAGTGACTCCCAGCCCTGATTCCCAGCAGGAATTCCCAGTGACTCCCAGCAGGAATTCCCAGTGACTCCCAGCAGGAATTCCCAGTGACTCCCAGCAGGAATTCCCAGTGACTCCCAGTGACTCCCAGCCCTGATTCCCAGCAGGAATTCCCAGTGACTCCCAGCAGGAATTCCCAGTGACTCCCAGCAGGAATTCCCAGTGACTCCCAGCAGGAATTCCCAGTGACTCCCAGTGACTCCCAGCCCTGATTCCCAGCAGGAATTCCCAGTGACTCCCAGCAGGAATTCCCAGTGACTCCCAGCAGGAATTCCCAGTGACTCCCAGCAGGAATTCCCAGTGACTCCCAGTGACTCCCAGCCCTGATTCCCAGCAGGAATTCCCAGTGACTCCCAGCAGGAATTCCCAGTGACTCCCAGCAGGAATTCCCAGTGACTCCCAGCAGGAATTCCCAGTGACTCCCAGCAGGAATTCCCAGTGACTCCCAGTGACTCCCAGCCCTGATTCCCAGCAGGAATTCCCAGTGACTCCCAGCAGGAATTCCCAGTGACTCCCAGCACTGATTACCAGCAGGAATTCCCAGCTGAACCCGGTGAGTTCACACCCCCACCACCTCCAGCATGGGGACACCAGTCCCAGCATTGCCACCAACACGTGGCCTGGAGGGGATGGGGCTGCTGGGGTGCTGGTTTGGGGTCCCTGTGCTCTGTGGGGGGTGGAGCGGATTTGGGGGGTGGAGGGCCCCTTGTCCCTGCCAGGTCCTGTGCCACCCCTCTGTCACCCTTGTGCCACTCCTGTGCCACTCCCACCTCCCATGGCAAAAGCCCGAAGTGTTTCCAGAGCTGAGCAAACACCTCGAGAAGGTCCCAGCAGTGTAGGCATTGGGATGGCTCTATGCCAGTTGGATTTTCCTGGTTCCAGGGGCTTCCCAGGAGTACCCCTGCCCACCCAGGGCATCCCAGCATTGCTGCTGCTGGCCTGGCTCAGCAAGAGCCACTCTCCAAAGGACACAGCAGTGTCCCCAGGTTGGGGACTCCATGCAGTTCCCTGGCACTGCTGGCTCAGCCTCCCTCCCTGTCACCTCTGCATCCCCATCCCTGTTCTTTCTCCGTCCACCCATCCATCCATCCATCATCCATCCATCCATCCATCCATCCATCCTTCATCCATCCATCCATCCATCCATCATCCATCCCTCATCCATCCATCCATCCATCCATCCATCCTTCATCCATCCATCCATCCATCCATCATCCATCCCTCATCCATCCATCCATCCATCCATCCATCCTTCATCCATCCATCCATCCATCCATCATCCATCCCTCATCCATCCATCCATCCATCCATCCATCCTTCATCCATCCATCCATCCATCCATCATCCATCCCTCATCCATCCATCCATCCATCCATCCATCCTTCATCCATCCATCCATCCATCCATCATCCATCCCTCATCCATCCATCCATCCATCCATCCATCCTTCATCCATCCATCCATCCATCCATCATCCATCCCTCATCCATCCATCCATCCATCCATCCATCCTTCATCCATCCATCCATCCATCCATCATCCATCCCTCATCCATCCATCATCCATCCATCCATCCATCCCACCATGAAGGAGGCTCAGGGTGCTCTGGGTGCTCCCATGGGGTCACAGCCCATTGTCCCCCCCAGACTCTCTCCTTGCTCCCTTTTCACCCCCTTGCCCCGGCCCATTGGTGACCCCCTGCTCTGCCTCCCCCAGGTCAGAGCCAGAGGGGACCCAGCCGGGACGGATCCCTGTCCCCCGCGGTGTCCCTCCCCTGGGCAGGGGGCAGAGGCGGTGCCAGGCCAGGCTGGAGGGTGCCCGGTAAGGCTGCCAGGGCTGGGGGGCTGTGGGACCCTGGGAGCCCCCTCCCTCCACCCCGCAGTGACCAGGGGAGATCACAGCACCCAAAGGTGCCAGGGTGGCGGTGGCGAGTCCCGGGGGCAGCAGGGTGGCCCTGCCTTTGCTCCTGGGGGGCAGAGGGAGTGCAGGGGGGAGCAGAGGGCACCAGAGCACCCAGCCCGGAGCACAGCCGGGTCCCTTTAGCTCGCCGTGCTCCGGGGGTGACAGAGGGGACATTTCTCGCCAGGGTTAGCATGACCGAGGTGGAACCCGTGCTGGACTTCGCATCCTCCGGCAGGACGGGCCGGCGCAATGCCCTGCCCGACATCCTGGGCTCGCCTGCCGGCGTCAGCCCCGCCGACCTGCCCCTCAAACTGGCCGAGATGTCCCTGAGCGCAGGTGGGTGAGCAGGAGGAGCGGGGAGGATGTGGGGTGAGCAGGGACAGGGGTCCCCGGGTGAGCAGGGACAGGGGTTCCTGGGTGAGCAGGGACAGGGGTTCCCAGGTGAGCAGGGACAGGGGTTCTGGGGTGAGCAGGGACAGGGGTTCTGGGGCGAGCAGGGACAGGGGTTCCCGGGTGAGCAGGGACAGGGGTTCTGGGGTGAGCAGGGACAGGGGTTCCCGGGTGAGCAGGGGCAGGGGTTCTCAGGTGAGCAGGGACAGGGGTTCCCAGGTGAGCAGGGACAGGTGTTCCGGGGTGAGCAGGGACAGGGGTTCCCGTGTTCATCCCGTGCTGAGGGACAAGGACACGGAGGGGCTGGAGCGTGTTTAGGGAAGGGAACGGAGCTGGGAAGGGTATGGAGCCCCAGGAGAGGCTGAGGGAGCTGGGAAGGGGCTCAGCCTGGAGAAAAGGAGGCTCAGGGGGGACCTTGTGGCTCTGCACAGCTCCTGACAGGAGGGGACAGCCGGGGGGGTCGGGCTGTGCTCCCAGGGAACAGGGACAGGAGGAGAGGGATCGGCCGTGGGAGGTCCAGCTTGGATACTGGGGATAATTTCTACATGGAAAGGGTGTTCAGGCATTGGAACTGCCCAGGAGGTTTGGAGTGCCCATCCCTGAGGTGTCCAAGGAACGCCTGGTCACTGGGCCGGGGACAAGGCGGGCATCGGGCACAGGTTGGGCTCGATGCTCCTGGAGCTCTTTTCCAGCCTCAGTGATGCCGTGACTCCATGCTCTGACCCCATGCCATGTCTCTCCCGGCAGGCAGTGCCCAGGACATGCAGTCGCCCTCAGCGGAGGTGCCCCCTCCGCAGCCCCCCAGCCCCGAGCTGAAGGACACGTCCTAACCCCGCCCGGGGGACATTTGTGACCGGCGGAGGAAGGAGGAGGCTGTGGGGCCAGCCCAGCTTTCCTGGCTCAGCCGGAGTCCGCTGGCATTTCCTCGGTGCTGCGAGACCCCGGAGCGTCCCCCCGGCCATGGGGGAGCAGCGCGTGGCGGGGACGTGAGGGGACATGGAGGGGGCCTGACCTGCCGTGACCAAGGGGCGATTCCCACCCACGCCCTGGGCCAGGACTCGGGGGTGGGGGGGATGTTTTGGCCTCCCCGGGGGGAGGAATATTTTTCTTCTGGGGCATTTGGCGGAGCCGAGCGCGGGGGGGTCCCGGGGGGCCCTCCTGGCCGCAGGAGCAGCCACGGGTGTTTCTTGCTGAGTGTGGTGTTCACTGTGATGTTTTTGGGTACCCCCTCGTCTCCTGGCCTTTCTTCTGGGTGACTCAGGAGCCACTCCCGAGTTCTGGAGGGGCGAGGTGGGGAAACACAACCCGAGAGCCCCCCAGCCCTTGAGCAGCGCTGCCGGCACGTCTCGGTGGGATCCCACTGAGGAGCAGAGCACCCGGCGTGGTCCCGCTCCCGGGGGATGCTGGTGACACTGGGGGTGGGAGCAGGGCGGTGCTGTTCGGAGCACCCCCAGCCCCCGAGCCGGGTCACCCACTGTCCCCACTCCGGACCCTCTCCGCAGCCCCGGGCGGGGCCAGCCGGGTCCGGCGGCGTTCGGGGACGCGGGGGACACGGAGTGCGGCTTTCCCAGGCTCTGGCCGTGCTGCCCAAATCTCTGCTTCTGCCAGAGGGCGGGATGGGACCCTCCTGCCCGGGCACTGAGGGACTGAGGGAGGGCTCCTCTGCCGGCTCTGGGGGTCGCCGGCCGGAGCCGGAACTCCTGGGAAGCCCCTGGAATCGGGAAAATCCACTGGCATGGAGCCATCCGGATGCCCGCGAGGCTGGGACCTTCTTGAGGTGTTTGCTCAGCTCTGGAAACACTTCGGGCTTTTGCCACGAGACGTGGGAGTGGCCCAGGGGTGGCACAAGACCTGGCAAGGACTGGATGGTTGGACGTGGAGCTGGACCCGCCCCATCCCTAAATAACGTCACACTTTTATTGCCATTGCTCTGGGATTTAACTCTGGCCTGCCTTGCTGCACTTCAAGGCCCTGCCTTCATGGACCAGATGGTCATTTTAGCTCCCTTCCCACTGAAGTATTTTATTCCAGAATGCAAAATTAGTGTAAATACTGTGTTCTACCCTCATCCAGCCACGGTGATTTGGCACATCATGAGGGACACAGCTGCAAGCAGGAGCTGCTTAACCATGGCCAGGGTGGCTCTCAAGGCATCAGCCACCCCTCCAGCCCCTGTTCCATCCCATCCCATCCCATCCCAGCCCAGCCCAGCCCAGCCCAGCCCAGCCCAGCCCAGCCCAGCCCAGCCCATCCCGGTCGGTCACCTATAGCTGTCGCTGTGGGACCACCAAAGGATTCCCGCAGCCCGGGTCCCCTCTGGCCGCCACCCGCGGACCAGGAGAGCCGTGCGGGGCCACGGAGGGGCCACCGTCCCCAGCGCCGCGCGGTGTCCCGGCCCCATCGGGCTCCTGGGCACCTCGGGAGGGCAGACCCGGCTGGGAGGGAGGGTTGGGTGAGTGTCCCCTCTGGCCGCCACCCGCGGACCAGGAGAGCCCTGCGGGGCCACGGAGGGGCCACCGTCCCCAGCGCCGCGCGGTGTCCCGGCCCCATCGGGCTCCTGGGCACCTCGGGAGGGCAGACCCGGCTGGGAGGGAGGGTTGGGTGAGTGGACGCGTGCAGGGGCACCCCTGGGTGTGGGTGTCCGTGTGCCAGGGCATCTGTGGGTGTGGGCACCCCTTTACATTGTCTTGGGCTCTCATGAGTGTGTGCATCCATGTGTAGGGTCATGGGCACCCCCGCACATTGGAATCGCTGTGTGGGGGCATCTGTGTGCTCTCGGGCACTCGTTTATGTGGGCATTCATGGGCATGGAGTCCCGTGTGTGCACATCCCTGTGTGCGGGCATCCACGGGCACCCATGTGCACGGGCATCCATGTGTGTGTGCATCCGTGTGTGTGTGCGTGTGCAGGGACATCTGTGTGTGTGTGCATCCGTGTGTCTGTACATCTGTGTGTGTGCTCTGTGTGCATGCATCCATGTGTGTGTGCAGAGACACATCCACGTGTGTGTGCTCTGTGTGTGTGCTCTGTGTGTGTGCATCCATGTGTGTGTGCAGGGACACATCCACGTGTGTGTGCATCTGTGTGTGTGCTCTGTGTGTGTGCATCCATGTGTGTGTGCAGAGACACATCCATGTGTGTGTGCATCTGTGTGTGTGCTCTGTGTGTGTGCATCCATGTGTGTGTGCAGAGACACATCCACGTGTGTGTGCTCTGTGTGTGTGCTCTGTGTGTGTGCAGAGACACATCATGTGTGTGTGTGCGTCCCTGTGTGTGTGTGCTCTGTGTGTGTGCATCCCTCTGTGTGTGTGTGTGTGTGCAGGGACACATCCATCTGTGTGTGTGCACCCATGTGTGTGTGTATCCATGAGTGTGCACTCATGTGTGCACCCATGTGTGTGTGTGTGTGCATGTGCAGGGATATCTCTGTGTGCATCCCTGTGTGTGTGTGTGCACCCATGTGCATGGACATCCACGTGCACAGGCATCCATGTGCTGTATGCATCCACGTGTGTGCGTGTGCAGGGATATCTGTGTGTGTGTGCATGGCTATGTGTGTACGTGCACACATGCAGTGACATCTGTGTGGGTATCTGTCTGTGTGTGTGTGTGTGTGTGTGTGTGCATCCATGGTCATGGACACACATTTACACAGGCATTTGTGGGCATGTGCTCCTGCCTGTGTGTGTGCATGTGTGTTATATGCATGTGTGTGCGTGTGCATCCATGGGCATCCATGTGTGGATATCCATGTGTGTGGGCACCCACGGGCACAGGCACTCAAGGGCATGGGCACACACCTCTGTGTGTGTGTGTGTGTGTGAATCCCTGCAGGTGAGTGGGTGGCCATGTTCATGGGTGCTCCTGTGGGTGGGTGTGCAGGGGCAGCCATGTGGGTGTCCCTGTGCCTGTGTGTCCCCGTGCCCGAGTGTCCCTGTGCCTGAATGTCCCTCTGCCCGTGTGTTCCTGTGTCTGTGTGTCCCTGTGCACGTGTGTCCCTGTGCCCATGTGTCCCTGTGCCCAGGTGTCATTCTGCATGGGTGCTTCTGTGGAAGGGTGTCCCTGTGTGTCCCTGTCAGTGGGTGTCCCTGTGCCTGAATGTCCCTCTGCCCGTGTGTTCCTGTGTCCCTGTGTCCCTGTGCCCATGTGTCCCTGTGCCCGGGTGTCATTCTGCATGGGTGCTTCTGTGGAAGGGTGTCCCTGTGTGTCCCTGTCAGTGGGTGTCCCTGTGCCGGGGTGTCCCTCTGTTGGGGTGTCCCTGTCAGTGGCTGTCCCAGTGCCTGTGTGTCCCTGTCAGTGGGTGTCCCTGTGCCGGGGTGTCCCTCTGTTGGGGTGTCCCTGTCAGTGGCTGTCCCAGTGCCTGTGTGTCCCTGTCAGTGGGTGTCCCTGTTCCGGGGTGTCCCCATGCCTTTGTATCCCCGTCAGTGGGTGTCCCTGTGTTGAAGTGTCCCTGAGCCAGGGTGTCCCTATATTGGGGTGTCCCTATATTGGGGTGTCCCCGTGCCGGGGCAGCCGTTCCTGTCATTGCCCCCATCTCACAGTCCCGTTGTAGGGGGAGCACCCAAGGGGACAGGGCTGGGCAGGTTTGGGACACTGACACCCAGGTGAAGGGACAGAGGACAGTCCTTGCCCTCTGTGTCCCCCCAGGCCATGGGGGCTCTGTCTCCCTGGGGAATACATTGTCCTTGTGGCCCTGGCAAGCAGAGCCCTGCCCGGTGTCCCAGCTGGGACAGGGGACACCCATCCCACGGGGACAGGTCCTGTGCCCCCAGGGCACGAGGTGAGGGGTCCTGCTCGGTGGCAGTGTCAGCAGGAGGACGCTGAACACGAGTTCTGGCTATTTTTGGGTGTCTGCGATGTCACACAGGGGACGGGGACAGGGAGAAGGTGTCCCCGGTCCCTCACGGCCGTGGTGCCTTTGACCCCGAAGTCCCCAAGACAAGGGGACACGCTGCAGCCACGGGGCTCAGGGACACCTGAGCCCCCAGCTGGGTCCCTCCACGACCCGGGGGCAGGAGGGGGCACTGTCCCCTGGGGACAGGGGACACCGAATGCCATGGCCAGGGGTGACCCCACCCACGCTGGGAAGGGGCTGGGGATGCGCTGGAGCCCAAAGCACGGGGAGACGGGGGGGACCTGCTGGGGGTCCCACAGCCCCGTGCCTGGCCCTGTCCCCAGCGTCCCCTGGCACCCAAAGCACCACTGCTGGCACACGCGTGTGTCCCCAGGCACACGGGGAGGGGACAGGGTCACACAAGTGCCCACACACACAGGCACACCGAGCAGGGACCGGGTCATGTGTCCCCACAGACACACGGAATTGAGGGGGTGTCACACATGTCCCCACACTCTCATGGAGTCCCCAGATTTATTCCCACACCCGTACCGGTGCTCCCTGCTCCCCGTGCCTCAGTTTCCCCAGCTCCCTGTCCCCGTGCCTCAGTTTCCCCAGCTCCCTACCCCCGTGCCTCAGTTTCCCCAGCTCAGCTCCCCTGTCCCCGCCACTCGTGTCCCTAAAGGGCATCACCGCTGTCGCTGTCCCCACGCCCTGACCGGGGGCAGCAGCTGCCCCTCCCCACGCACCCACGGCACCACCTGAGTTCCCCCCGCCAACCTCCCCGCCCCCCGCCACTCGTGTCCCTAAAGGGCATCACCGCTGTCGCTGTCCCCACGTCCTGCCCAGGGGCAGCAGCTGCCCCTCCCCACGCACCCACGGCACCACCTGGGCACACGCCCCCCGTGCCCGCCTCAGCGCCCCCTCCCCGCCGTGCCCCGCAGAGCCCGGGCACGGCTCACGACCCCAGTGCCCCTCTGGCTGTGCCCAGCCCGGGGGTCGGGGCGGGGGGCGGTGGCCGGGGGGGGTGGCCGGGCCGGGGTGGCCGCTGGCAGCGCTGCCGGGAGTATTTCTGGAGCGCGTTGTGCTCTTTCCAATCATGTGATGAGGACATTATTTAAGGCGGCCGCGGGGCCGGAGCAGCTGCAGGCGGTGCCACGCTCGCAGCCGGCCGGACCCCCGCGTGTCTGCGGCCCCCCCGCGCCCCCTCGCCATGGTTGACGCCTTCGTGGGCACCTGGAAGCTGGTGGACACCAACAATTTCGATGAGTACATGAAGGCGCTGGGTGAGTGGGCGAGGCTGGGAGCGGGCTTACAGTCACATCACCCCTTTTTTGTTTTTATCGTGCCCCCCCAGTTTGCCTGGTGAACTCCCGCCCCCCACGGGGGTCTGGCTGGGGGGGATGCAGGCGGAGGGGGGGTCGCTGCTGCCGCCGTGGGGGGTTTAGGGGGGCTCCGGGGTTTTGTGCACGCGGGGCTGGGCGGGGTGAGGGGGTCTCAGGCTGGGTGAGGGGTCGCGTTCTCCCCGTGCCCCCCCCGGGGGCAGCCCTTGGCAGAGGGTGGAGGGATGAGATGGCCCCCGTGGGTCCTGGGGTCTCTCAGGACCCCCCCCCCCCCCTTCCCCAGCCCCCGGGCCCCCCGCCACCCACCCCCACCAGGGCCGNGGCACGGCTCACGACCCCAGTGCCCCCCTGGCTGTGCCCAGCCCGGGGGTCGGGGCGGGGGGCGGTGGCCGGGGGGGGTGGCCGGGCCGGGGTGGCCGCTGGCAGCGCTGCCGGGAGTATTTCTGGAGCGCGTTGTGCTCTTTCCAATCATGTGATGAGGACATTATTTAAGGCGGCCGCGGGGCCGGAGCAGCTGCAGGCGGTGCCACGCTCGCAGCCGGCCGGACCCCCGCGTGTCTGCGGCCCCCCCGCGCCCCCTCGCCATGGTTGACGCCTTCGTGGGCACCTGGAAGCTGGTGGACACCAACAATTTCGATGAGTACATGAAGGCGCTGGGTGAGTGGGCGAGGCTGGGAGCGGGCTTACAGTCACATCACCCCTTTTTTGTTTTTATCGTGCCCCCCCAGTTTGCCTGGTGAACTCCCGCCCCCCACGGGGGTCTGGCTGGGGGGGATGCAGGCGGAGGGGGGGTCGCTGCTGCCGCCGTGGGGGGTTTAGGGGGGCTCCGGGGTTTTGTGCACGCGGGGCTGGGCGGGGTGAGGGGGTCTCAGGCTGGGTGAGGGGTCGCGTTCTCCCCGTGCCCCCCCCGGGGGCAGCCCTTGGCAGAGGGTGGAGGGATGAGATGGCCCCCGTGGGTCCTGGGGTCTCTCAGGACCCCCCCCCCAGCCTTCCCCAGCCCCCGAGCCCCCCATCAGCCAGCCCCAGCATGGTCAGGGGGAGTCCCACAGCCCAGAGCAGGGCGGGGAAGGGGGGACAGACACCAGTCCCCCCTCACCCAGCTCAGGGTGGGTGCGTGCTGCTCCCGGATCCATCCCTCCTGCCCCCCCTCTCTGCTCCGGCCCCGGGGGCGCACGGAGCCCCCCAGGAGCATGAACGGGCAGCAGTTTGGGGGCTCACCCTCCAGCAGCACGGGGAGGAAGGGCTCGGGGGCGCGGAGGGGCTGGTGGCCGCCCGTGCCCCTCCGCACGCCCTCACCCCTCGGTCCCCAGGCGTGGGCTTCGCCACGCGGCAGGTGGCCGGCTTCACCAAGCCCACCACCATCATCGAGCTGGACGGCGACAAGGTCACCGTGAAGACCCAGAGCACCTTCAAGAACACCGAGATCACCTTCAAGCTGGGCGAGGAGTTCGACGAGACCACGGCGGACGACAGGCACGTCAAGGTGAGCCCCCAGCCCCGCCCCGCCCGTGGCACCCCCGAAAGGCTCCGTGGGCTGCGGGGGTCGCTCCGTCAGCCCGTGGGCTCATCCTGGCTGCGAGAGGAGCACCTCTGTGCCCGCCGGGGCTGCTGCTCCAGCCTGCTCCCGTCCAGGCAGCCCCCCCGAATCCGTTTTGCAGCGGGGGTGCCCCGGGGCAGGACGGAGCTGCCGGGAAGGTTGAGCAAGAGCCGGGGCGAGCGCCAGCTTGCTCAAGAGGAGGCCGGCGGCCGTGGTGGGGCGGTGGAAGTGTCCCTGCTCCGGGGGAAGAAGGCCACCACCTCTCTTTTTGAGCCCACTCCCCTCTGTGCCCTCCCAAGCGGGCAGGGCTGCAGGGATGGAGACCGGGACAATCCCAAGGGCTCATCCCAGGGCTGCGGCTCCCTGGGGAGCTCAAAACTTCCCGGGCCAGGCTGCTCCTCCCTGTAAGAGCAAGGAAAAAATCACCTGGGGGAGAGCGGTGACTTTCCTGGCCTCTCCCACCCTGCAGGGACATTTTCCCTCACAGGAATGGCCCAGCTCCTGATTTTTCCTAGATTCCAGCTGCCGCTCCGTGCACGCAGCAGCTGGCCCCACACCCAGCGCGGGGGGCACCTCGGGAGGAACCTGGGGGCTCTTTGGCCACAAAACCCTTTCGTGGCCCCAGAGCAGGAAGCACAAAGGGCTGGGCTCGAGCGAGGCTGGGGGAAGGGGCTGAGTGTGAGCTCCCTCCCCGCCGCGCCCCTCCCGCCCCAGCTGCTGGCCGCTGTTCAAGCAGCACGAACGTGTGACCGGCCCGCGGCTCCTGCCACAGCCCGGGACGTGCCCTTGGGGTGTCCCTCGGCCGGGCCAGAGGGCGCGTGATGGGCAGCGCGGCCGGGACGGCTGCCCGAGGCACGGGGCTGGACAGGATGGGGTCAGCCGTGGGGTGCCAGGAGCTGTGGGGCACCCAAGGTAGCATGGAACGGTTTGGATTGGAATGGACCTTAAAGTTCATCCAGTGCCACCCCTGCCATGGCAGGGACACCTTCCAGGTCCCAGGTGCTCCAAGCCCTCTCCAGCCTGGCCTTGGGCACTGCCAGGGATCCAGGGACAGCCACAGCTGCTCTGGGCCCCTGTGCCAGGGCTTCACCCCCTCCCAGGGAGGAATTTCTCCCCAGTATTCCATCCGTCCCTGCCCTCTGGCTGTGGGGCACCCAAACCCTGCGGGTACCCAAACTTTTGGACAGCTGAGCAGTGAGGGGGCCCAGCTATGGGGAGAAGTGGGGTCTGAGGGAGCACCCGGAGCCTTGTGGGGATCTGGGGCTGGGGCTCACCTGAGCTCCGGACAGAGCCCAGCCATGGGGGCACCCGAGGGGCAGCCCCCGGCTCAGGAGGGGCAGGGTGGGGGGCACAGGGCAGGATGGGGACAGGCAGGCGGTGCCAGCGCTGGTGCCAGTGCCTGTCCCGGACCAACCCCGCCCTGCGTGCCGTGGCCGGCGCTGTCACCGTAACCTTGGCACGGGCCGGGCTCCGGGGGCTGAGTCAGCAGCGCGCTGTGCAAACAGCAGCGCGGCGAGCACAGGCGCGTCCGCTGCACCCAAAAGCCGCTCCAAACCCCTCGGCGGGCCCTGCGGGGCAGGGAGGCTTCGGTCCCAGCCCCGGTCCCATCCCCGATCCCCGCCCCGCGCTCCGGTCCCCGCCGGAGCCGGTGAGCCGCGCCTGGGAGCGCGGCCGGGACAGGCCCGGGTGGCCCCGGGGCACGGAGGGCAGGGTGACCGTGCCGGTGGCACCTGCGGTCACAGGGGGACAGCCGAGGCCGTGAGCCAGTGCAGGATCCGGGCTGGGCTGAGCGCGGCTGACCCAGCCGGGCGGGGATGGTGCCAGGTCGGCATCCCTGCTGCACCTCCAGGCCGATCCCGAGCCCTGCGGGGCTCCAGGGTCCCCTCTGAGGGACAAACCCCCGAGAGGAAAGTAACTGTGGGTCTCAATCCCTCCCTGCAGTCCTTGGTCACACTGGATGGAGGCAAACTCGTCCACGTGCAGAAGTGGGAGGGGAAGGAGACCTCGCTGGTCCGGGAGCTGAAGGATGGGAAATTAGTCCTGGTAAGGAACTGGTTTTATTCTGACCTTCCCACTCAGAAATGGTTTGAAGTGGGAAGAGCTCAGCTCGGAGCTGGCCAGGGCAGCACTAACTCCCGCACCTCTCTGCCCCCAGACTCTCACCATGGGCAACGTGGTCTCCACCCGCACCTACGAGAAGGCGACATAGACGCTGTCCCAGGTCCCCTGCCTGTCACCCGGTGCCACATCGTCCCCACCTCCTGGCCCCGTGCCAGGCACGGCTTCCCTGGGCTCGGAGCCGCTGCCCCACCGGGGCCGCCCCTGCCCCGCCCGGCGCCTGCAGGGGCTCCAGGGGCTCGGGGGGTGGTTTCGTGGTTTGTTGTTGGGTTCTTTTTTAACTGATAGTGGGAAAAGTCACATGGAAAAATAATAAAGGTGTTGTTACAGCTCTGTGCTCGGTTTACTCGGGAAAAGGCGTTTTTGGCACGTGCCCACCCACGGGGACGGCAGGGATGGGGTTCATGGCCAGTGGTCCCAGCAGCCCATGCCAGCCTCCTCTCCACGCTGCGGGGATCAGTTCTTCAGTTCTGGCTGGCCATGTGCGCTCCGGGAATGCCCCTCCCAGCCAGGCCGATCCCCCAGGGCAGGAGCCCCCCAGCCCCCGCAGAGGGACAGGCTCCCCTGGAACAAAGGTCCTGAGCGCCTGTGGCCGGACTGGGGAAGGGAAATGGCCCCAAAGGGGGAGGCAGCCTTGGGGAGCCGGGGCGGGAAGCACAGGGAAGGAAAAGGGAAAGGGGAGGCTGCAGCAGCAGTCCCAACTCTCGTGCCACACCAACAGCTGCCTCTCCCAGCTCCCTGCAGAGCCAGAGGCCGCAGGGGCGGCTCCTTCCCCGTTCACATCTGTCCCAGCAGGGCCGAGCTGCTCCTGGCACCCTCCCCCTGCCATCCCCTCCCCTGACCTTCAGCTCCAGTTACAAGATTTATGCTCCCTGCAGAAGGCTTCTCCTATGGGTTACCTCACCACACACCCCCTTCCCACCCCAGGGAACCTGGGGAAGCAGCCAGAACTCCAAAAAAAACCCTTTCCCGTCTCCACGCAGCCAGAGCTGCTCTCCCCCTGCCCAAGATGAAGTGTGGAGGGGACAGAAGAAAGGAGCCAGTACAAAGTGCAGCTGGAGAGAGCAGAGATTTATCTTCCATCCCTTTCCAAGGCAGCAAACACTCCACAGTCCATGTTTACTCCCAGTATCTGCACTCCCCCATTTGCTCCTTGCTCCTCCACTCCTGGTGTTTGCAGAGACCGAGGGAGCCGGGGCAGGTTTGCAGCCCAGAGCTCTGTGCCAGGGGGCTGAGGTCCCATCAAACCCTGTCCCCAGCACGCTGTGGGCCTGGCTGTGCCACCCCGAGCTCTGTGCCAGGGGGCTGAGGTCCCACCAAACCCTGTCCCCAGCACGCTGTGGGCCTGGCTGTGCCACCCCGAGCTCTGCAGGGCTGCTGTCCCCCTGTTGTCACAGGAGCTGGGACCTGGCAGTGCCCAGGCTGTGGCACAGCAGGGGTGCCCTGCAGGGTGTCATGAGCCCGTGCTGGCAGCAGCTGTGGGACAAAGGGGCAGCCTGTGCCCAAGGTGACAGAGGACAGCTCGCAGCCAGGTCAACACCTGTAACAGCACACGTTACTTTGAAATAAACTCCTTGTCCCTGGAGCAGGAGCTGCTGGTCCCTGCTGGCTGCACCAGGGAATGCCGTGGCAGCAGCCCAGCCTGCCCTGCTCGCCCCAGGGCTACTTCTTGTGCTTCTTCTTCTTCTTCTTGGGAGCCTTGCTGGGTTTCCTGGCGTGCTTGGGCCTCTTGCTGCAGGGCTGAGCTCCGTCGCTGTCCGAGGCCGAGCTGGCCGAGTCCGACTCCGAGGACTGCCTGGCCTTGTGCTTCTTCTTCTTCTTCTTCTCCTGGGAAAACACAGCAGAGTGGGAATGTGGGAATGCCCGCCCTGGTGCTCAGCAGGGCAGCACGAGCCTTTCTGGGCCTGTTCCTGCATGGAAAGGGCACAGTGCCTCAGGAGGCAGGAGCTCACCACCACTGCCAACCCTCAGCTGCAGGGCAGGGCACAGAGCACGGCAGGAATCGGAGCAGAGGGGCAGCATCATGGAAATCCGAGGCTGGAAAACACTGGATAAGTCATGGAAGGAGAGTCCTTGCTCTCATTCCATTATTCCATCAGGGCAGGGCACAGAGCACGGCAGGAATCGGAGCAGAGGGGCAGCAACATGGAAATCCGAGGCTGGAAAACACTGGATAAGTCACGGAAGGAGTCCTTGCTCTCATTCCATTATTCCACTGTTCTTTATTAATAAAAGTTGGAAGGACGAAGCGTTTTTGCCCAAAAATTTGGTTTCTAAACCAGCCATGAGCACCATCCCTACAGCCCCAGCCCAGCACCAGCTCCAGCCTGGCAGGACAGGAGCACTGGAGCACCCAAACACTCCCAGCTCTGGGCAGCAGAGCCCAGTGGAGCTTCCCTGGAGCAGGACGAGGTCAGTGCCCTCCTGCAAGATGCAGCTCCTTGCACAACCTCCCAAAAGATTTCACCACCCCTCCTCTTTCCCAACTTCCTCTTCACCCCTTCCTGCTCCCCAATTTCTCCTGAACCCCAACCTGCTCATCTTCCCATTGCACCTTGTCCTGCTCCCCAATTCCCTCTGCATCCCAACTGCACCCCTTCCTGCTGATTCCTTCACACACCCTCCTGTTCCCAAACTTCTCTTCCACCCTCCTCTGCTGCTCTCTCCCTCATGCTGTGTTTCTGCAAAGCCCTGAGCCAGAAGCTCCAGAGTGACCCTTGGCTGCAGCAGGAGAACAGCTGGTGTTGGAGTAAAGCCCCTGAGGAGCTCTGAAATGGATCTAAACTCTCCAATTTGTGACAAAGCAGCAGGCAGGATTACCCTGAGGTCAGGCCTGGGGGCACTGCGATCACCCCAAGGCAGACCAGCAGTGTTTAATGATGCAGGATGGCAATTTGGGGATATTTAATCAGGACACAGGCCTGGGGAGAGGATCTGACTGATGCCAGGGTTCATCCCCTGCATTCCCCTCCAGCAGGGAGCAGGAGTGCTGCCAGCAGCTCCCAAGGGCCTGGCAAAGTCCATCCTGCAAAAACTCAGGTGTTCCTTCACCTTGGCTCTGGAAATGAAGGGAAGCAGCTGAATGTGCCTCTAAAACAACTGCACCTTGCATGGTCAATGCACAGCTGCAGATTTCTGCCCCAGCACAGCAGCACCAGGCTCCAGCAAGGATCCACCAACTCCAGCCATGGCCAGCCAGTGCCTGAGAGACTCTCCTGGCAAAAGGCTCTGAGGGTGGTTTGGGTTGGAAGGGAGCTGAAAAACCACCCAGTTCCACCTCTGCAGGCTCCAGCAAGGATCCACCAACTCCAGCCATGGCCAGCCAGTCCCTGAGAGACTCTCCTGGCAAAAGGCTCTGAGGGTCACAGAGTGGTCTGGGTTGGAAGGGAGCTGCAAAACCACCCAGTTCCACCTCTGGGCCCTGGCAGGGACAGCTCCCACTGTCCCAGCTGCTCCCAGCCCCAATGTCCAGCCTGGCCTTGGGCACTGCCAGGGATCCAGGGGCAGCCACAGCTGCTCTGGCAATTCCAGCCCAGCCCCTCTCCACCTCCACATCCAGGAATTGCTTCCCAATATCCCAACCAAATCTCCCCATTTCCAATTTCAATTCCATTCCAATTCCATTCCCTGTGTCCTGTCCCTCCATCCTTGTCCCCAGTCCCTCTGCAGCTCTCCTGGAGCCCCTTCAGGCCCTGCCAGGGCTCTGAGCTCTCCCTGGAGCCTTCTCCTCTCCAGGGGAGCCCCCCCAGCTCTCCCAGCCTGGCTCCAGAGGGGCTGATCAGGAATTTCTGCCCTATTTGAGGACTCAAGCAGAGAAGCCAAGGAGGGTTTCAGGGAGCAGAGATGGCAACCGAGGTGACCAAAGCCCTGGGACAGGTTTAGACAGCCCCAGTGAGGAATGTGGCCCAGCAAGCTCAGCTCAGAGCTCTGACTAACCCAGCTTTTAAGCACCTGTGCCCAAATTGGATTGGGTGTCCGAGCACCAGGCCCAGGCTGCCAGGTGAGGAAAAACGAAAGGAGCTGGCAGCTGATTTTTAATCAAACAGAACAGCTTTTTTAGGGAGCTGGAAGAACAAAGACAACACCCAGAGCTGAGCATCCAGCAGAGTCCTCTGGGACTCCAGGGAAGGGAGCAGAGGATGGAGTGGCTCCACACCCACCAGACCCTTGGCACATTTTAGCTCCCTAACACCAAATAATGTCATCCAAAATTGAGTCTATTTTCCTGTGGGGTAACAACAGACTCATCAAAACTCCCTGATCCACAGAGGAGAGGCAGAAGCAAATCCTCCCAGTCCTAAGAGGATGGGAAGGAGTTAAATCCTCCAGAGAAGGGGATGCAGCAAGGAGAATTTTCTCAAGCTTTTCCAGCCCGTGCACATGGTGAGAAAGTTTGACAGGACCTTCACAACCAAGAGCTTCATTCCAGAGCTTGGGAAACTTTCTCAGGATGTGAGGGCTGAAGGCAGGACAGGATGTCACACACGCTCCTGGGGATGGAGCAGGGGACAAAAAAGCACACATGGGCATTGTGCTGGCTGGAAAAATCAACAAACCCTCACTCCCACCTTTTTGGGAGCTTCTAACAGCCAAGATCACTCCAAGAGAGGCAAATCCCTTTTCTGGCACACAGTGGGGCTCTTGGGGTGTCCTGTGCAGGGCCAGGAGCTGAACTAAGTGATCCTTGTGTGTGCCTTTTCCAACCTGGATATTCCAGGATTCTCTGATTCTTCCAGTGCAGCAAATCAGCACAGCCTGGGCTGGAAGTGCAGCAGGAAACAAGGAGAGCTGAGCATTCCCAGAGGAAAAATGGCTGCTCCATGGCTGGAAGGGCTTTGGAGCACCCTGGGACAGTGGAAGGTGTCCTGCCCATGGCAGGGGTGGCACTGGATGGCATTTAAGGTCCTTCCAACCCAACCCATCCCATGATTTTATGAATTTCAGCAGCAGGAGGCAGAGCTGCTGCAAAATCCTCCTGCAGGAGCAGCATCCTGCCCCAGACCTCTCCTTCAATGCAGCAGCCCAGCCCTGAGGGAGCAGCACTGAGGTCACCAGGGGGTGTCTGCAGCTCAGGGACTGCCCACAAAGCCCAGGTCTGTGCCTGCAGGGACACCCTGAGCTGCCAAGTGCCCTCCAGCCCTGCTGGATGGGGCTCAGCTCAGCTCTGGCACACCCAGCTCAGCTCAGGGCACACCCAGCAGCCCAAACACTGCATTTTGGGGCAATATTTGGAGAGGATTTGGCCCAAGCAGCTCTCAGTGCAGAGGGCTCCCAGCACACAGAGCTGCAGTTCATGGTTCCTTGCACATCCTGCCCCACCTATCAATTAGCACACCAGAATTGCTCCAAAACCTCTCTCCAAGCCCCTGCTGGAGCTGCCAGGACAGCAGCAGGCTGGGCTGGAGCCTGAGTGCTGGTTTTCATGGAACTCCTTCCCTACTGCTCCAGAAATTCCTCCAAGAGGGGCCCCTCCAGCACTCCAGGCTGTCCTTTGTGAGGAAACTGCTCCAGGCTGTGCTCTCAGAATGTTCAACAGCTCATTCCTCCTAAAGGTATTTGGGGTTGAGATAAGAGGGGAGTGCCCAGAACTGTCCAAGAAGTTGAAATATTTTTCACCAGACCCTTCTGAGGAGTTAAGATCCCATTCCAAGACTTAGTGTCTTATCCTTGTGAAAAACTGGAATGGATTCCTAATGTCTGTCTGCATCCCCAGGGGTGTGCCAGGAATCCTTCTAGGCTTCTTAATTTTATTCTTTATCCTCATTCCACCAGCCAATTTCATTCCAAACAAGATTCATTACACCAATCTAAAGGTGGTTTTGCATCCTTTGTTGGAGGAGCAGTCAGAATGAAGCTGAGGAGAAGAACCCAGCCAGTAAATAAAGACAGCCAGATTCAGAAAAATTTCAGTGAAGACAATGTGTGAAAGGCTGTGGTCTCTTAATGCCAGAACCAGTAAAACCAGTAAAACTGAGGATGGACCAAGGCTGGATGAGCCACAAGTCACAGAACAAACACACTTAGGTGTGGTTTTAACATGAAGATCTGGAAATCTTTGAAGAGGTGAGGAAAAAAGCATCAAAGTCATAAAAAAGCCCCAATCCCAAAGGCCACCCAAAACCACCTCAGGGATGAGCTGTTCCATGTGGAATAAAGCTCATAAGGAACTCTGAAATGGATCCAAACCCCCAAATTTGAGGTTGTGTGAACAGAAGATGGGATAAACTTGGAGCATTTCAGTGCAAGGGGTTATCCCTCAGTCAGCACTGCAGGTTTTTTCCTGGAGGACAAAGGCAGCAGGATGAGAAGGGCTCAGCCATTCCCAGCCTCCTGCCTCCCACACAAGCCCAGCAGGGACACTGCTGTTCCCACAGGAGCTCCTTCACCCTGTGACCCCAGCAGGAGAAGGGACACGGAGCCTGGGCCTGCCCAGCTGTCCCAGACAGCCCCAGGGCTCGTCCCTGGCACAGCACCATGGAGTCCTGGAATTGTTTAGGTTGGAAAAGCCCTCCAAGACCAGCCAGTCCAGCTGTGGCCCCAGCACCTCCCCAGGTGCCACCTCCACGTGGTTTAGGAGGGGTGGGGACTCCAGCACTGCCAGGACAGTTCTATCAACCCTTTTTGTGAAGGGTTTTTCCCAAATATCTGGATAGGAGATATTTGGGAAAAATCCCAAGTGGGGTATATAAAGGGAAAAGCAGACAAGGGAGCAAAAACTTCAAAGGCAGGGGGCAGAACCCCTCCATAAATCTTCAAAACACCCAGACTGCTGAGAGGGCAGGGAAGCCAGGAGTGGTTTGAAGCAGAGGTGGGGTCAGAGTAGGTGCAATCCCCCTGCCCTCTCCTGCTCCAGGGGAGGGTGGCTCAGTGTTTGCTGGCTCTTACTTTGCACTTCAGTGCCATCTTGCCCTGTTCTGGGGAAGAGAGAAGGGAGCAGCTGCACACTCCTGTGCTGAAGGTACAAGGATGGGGAGAACAGCCATGTTATTGGGCTGTCAGGCTGTCATGTGGACCTTTAAAGGTCTATTTTTTCTAACTTGCCATGGGCTGAGCAGTGGCTGCCCCAAACCTCTCTCAGCACAACCTGAGGCTGCTTGCTCTCACCCCTCCCCTCATTCCCTGGAGCATCCCCGGCTGTCCCCTCCTGGCAGGAGCTGGGCAGGGCCACAAGGTCCCCCCTGAGCCTCCTTTTCTCAGGCTGAGCCCCTTCCCAGCTCCCTCAGGATTCTCCAGACCCTTCCCAGCTCCGTTCCCTTCCCTGGACACCCTCCAGCCTCTCCCCTTCTCCCTGCATCACCCATTTTCTCAGGGGTTACAGGAGACAGGACAGGGCTCAGTGCTGCCACCCAAGGATGTGTCACTGTCACACCAGTGCCACCCGAATCCAGCTCCAGCCTGGGAATACTGAGGGGCTCAGGCAGGAGGGAAAACAGGAGCTGGGAACCACTGGGAAGGCAAGGTGAACAAAAAAAAGGGGGTGAGGATCCTGGAGGAATCTCTGGGAAGAGGAGAAAAACCCCAGAAACTGCAAGGAAACATCAAATCCAGGAAAGCACAAAATGCTGACCCTGAACAATCACAAATATTAATTTTACTGCTCTGACACTCAGTGGAGATGGAATCCCTTGGGAGCTGGCAGCTCCCTCCTCTCATTTCAAAACCCCAGGGCCACACTGGTGTCACACACAGGGGAGGGCACAGGTCAGCAAGGAGATGTCCCTGAATGCAGGGAGCTATTTCCACATGCTGTAAATCCCTGGAGCTCCAGGCAAGCAGGGAAGCACATGGTGGCTCCCAGACAAGAGCACAGCAGGCACTCCAGACTACAAGGGAACCATTCATCCCCAGGATCCCACATCCTGCCTCCAAAAAAGCTCCAAGTTTTATTATTCCAGCTCTGGAAAACATCTGACAACTTTTGATGTCACCCTTGAGAAGGGAGGGAGATCAAAGGAACAAGCGAGATTTCAAGGAAAGCTATTAATCCACCAAAGCAAAAAAAAATCAGGAACAAATTCAGGACAGTGACCCACATTTCCTGTAGTGTCAGCAGGGCAAGACTCCACTGGGAATCCCCATGCTGGTGGATGGGCAGGGGTAGGTTAACAAGCTGTCTGTGCACTTCTTTGTGTAATTTTCCCCAAAACTTTTAAATAACTTGAGTCTTTTCTGCCTGTTGCCAGTCTCCAGGGATACAGAGAGGCCACAGAGCTGGAAGGAGGGGAAAAAACAGAGAAAGGGCTTTGGAAGAGTAATTAAAAGTGGGACTGTGAAGGGGCTGATGGAAGAGTTTGTTTATTTATTGAAGTGTTGAACTGGATTGTGGCTGCCCCTGGATGTGTCCCAGGCCAGGCTGGATGGGGCTTGGAAACCTGGGGCCATGGCAGGGGTGGGATAGGATTTAAGGTCCCTTCCACCCCAAACCCTCTGGGACTCTGTGAATACTCATTCCTGAATAAATTTGACCATCAAAAGCTCCTGGCTTAGGTTCAGCTCTCACCTGTGTTTTATTTTATCTCATCCTGCTTCGAGCCAGAGGTCAAACACAGCCTGGGAAATGTCTCTGATCTGGTGCCATTTTCACAGGGACAGAAATTGCTCTGGAGCCTGGGAATGCTCCCTGTGCAAACACAGCCAGGGATTTTCCCCCAGAGTGTGCAGATAAACCCAATTCCCACAGCTCTGGCAGGGTCAGGATACCCCTGGAGCCAGCAGGGCACTGAGTCCAGATCAAAGAAGGGTGTGAGGGCAGGAAAAAGAGGAAAACAGGAATTCAGGAGACTGAAGCAATGCCTGAAGAGCCTCACAAAGACCAGGAACAACTACAATCATCTTTTTCTCACTCTAAGAATATCTTTTGAGGGCTATGTGTTGTAGCACAAAACCAGCTTGAAGGGAACTTGACAATAACAGGAGAAAATCTAAGAATCAGTAAGAAATCTACAGAGGAGGTTCCTGTTTTGCTACAGAATCTGCCCAAAACTGAGGCACCTTCTCAGCCCACACCTGGCTACTCACACCACCTGGCTGGAGTAACTCAGTTGTAGCTAAAGAGCAAATCCCCATCCCCCATTTCCTTTTCCAGGCCAGCCAGAGGCCACCTCATACCTTCTTCCTCTTTTTTGAAGACTCCTCAGGCTGGCTGATCTTTTTGTCCCCTTCATGTCCTGCTGCTGCCCCCTCCTCTTCCTCCTCCTCTGGAATGAGGCTGTATTTGGTTCCTCCAGGCTGCATGAAACACTCCTTGGCAAAGTGACCTGGAAAAAAAAAGGTGTTTGAAGGAACAACCCAGCCCCTTTTCTTTCTTTTTGTTCTTTTTTTAACAAATGCATTTCATACACCTGAAGTGCTGCCAAGGCTCTTTTGATTATCAGTCACAAGGAGAAAATCTACACTGGACATTTTTTATCCTGGAATTTCAGCTGGTTGAACATGCCCTGATTACACAGGACAGGGAACAAACATAACCCAGGTCATTCTGGAGGGATTAGTTAGGCAAAAGAGAAAATATTCTTGTCTCAGCAAGTAAAAATCTGTCTCTGCACGGGTTTAAACAGTCCAGAAAAGAATGGGGGAAAAGTAAATTGGTGTGATTGGCACCTAGAAAATGAGCTAAAGCCACAAAGAGAGAGAAATTCAGCTCTTCTGGTTCTACCCTTTCTACACTGGAGAAATCAAAGCTGACCTACTAAGAGCTGCAGGGGAAATTTGGAGAGCTGGCACTTGCTGTTAGGAGGAGACACCATTATTAAAAAGCAGACTAGAAATAGGCATAATCCTGATTTTTGGGGTTCTTTAAAATACTGTTTTATACATAATAGTTCTTTAAATAGAAATAATCCTTTAAAATAGTATTTTAAGGAAATTTCTCTATAACTACAGGGCCCACACTCAGCATTAACCTCCTCCAGAATAGCACGAGCCCCATTAATCATTTCCTCTAAATAACACAAGTAGGGCACAGCAAAAACTCCTGCACAAAAAAAAAACTACTTTGTACCTCAGCAACTTGAATAAATCTACTGAAATTCACCACAAAATTATCTTCATACTGCTGAACCAGGCAGGACATCATTACAGCAGGCACAAACTTGGTTTTAGCTCCAAGAGACAGCTCCAGTGTCCCATTGTCCCACCAACTGAGCTGCAGCTTCCACTGATGGTTGTTCACAGTGGGATCACCTGCTGAAGGTTTGTTTGCTTTGTAAAAACCAAAATCAGAGTAATTACCTCAAATGGGACCGGTGTCCCAGGAATTCCTGGATGTGGCACTGAGTGCTCTGGGCTGGGAACAAGGTGGGGATGGAGCACAGCTTGGATTTGATGTTCTCAGAGCTCTTTTCCAACCTAAAGAATGGTTGGGGTTGAAGGGACCTCAGGAGATCACCTGGAGCAGGTGACACAGGGACACATCCAGGGGGCTGGGATGGCTCCAGAAAGGCAGACTCCACTCCCTCCCTGTCCTCTGCCACTCCTCATGTACAGAATTTTTTCCTCACAGTGAGGTGGAGCTCGTTGTGTTTCACTTTCTGGCCATCAGTCTTTGTCCTGTCCCTGAGCAGAGCCTGCACCATCCTCTGACACCCCCTGGGGATATTTGTGTGGATTGATGGGATTCCCTCTCAGTTTTGTTCTCCACAACAACCAGGCCCAGCTCTCTCACTCTCTCCTCATTTCTCCAGCCCTTCATCATCTTTGTGGCCTCCACTGGTCCCTTACCAGTAGCCCAAAATGGTGTGATTTTAAGAAATAAACTTTTAAATTTTTTTTAGGGACTTTCATTAAATCTTTTGGTTTTGTAGCAAGTGATAAAAATTCCCTCCTCTAAAGGAGGAACATGGAACCAAACTTCAGTCCTTACAACCACATGTAACCACATCAGCAGCTGTGGCTGCCCCTGGATCCCTGGAAGTGTCCAAGACCAGGTTGGACCCTGGGGCTTGGAGCAGTCTGGGATGGTAGAAGATGTTCCTGGTGACTGGAATCAGGTGGGATTCAAGGTCCCTTCCAACCCAAACCATTTTGGATTCCAACCACAAGACAGACACTGACACAAGCCCTCCAAGGGTCACTGCCTGGCTGGGACAGAGCCATAGGGCAGCAGCCCAGACCCACCTTTGCAGCCACACTTCTTGCACACCGTGTTCAGCACGGCCTCCAGGGTGATCTTCTGGCTCGTGTAGTCCCTGAAGCTGCGTTTCTTCCTCTCATCCTGGCTGGGAGGACAAAAACAGCTCCAGTTTCAATCCATTCTCATCTTTCATCCCTCATTTTTTACAAACAAAAGGCTTTTACGTTTTTGTACGACCACGAGGCTTTTAAAGGTTATGTGGTGTGGTGGTTTTGGTTTGCTAATTTGAGATTTCACTAATTTTGAGATCATTTGTGGCTGCAGCTCTCTTCACAGAGAGCGTCCTGGATTTCCCACAACAGTCTCCCATGCAAAACCAGGATACTCTCAAAGTAAAACTTTCTAAACCCAAAGAGCTGAGCTGACCTGGCTTGGACACCTCCAGGGATCCAGGGGCAGGCACAGCTGCTCTGGAAATTCCATCCCAGCCTCTCCCCAGCTCTCAGGGAACAATTCCTTCCCAAAATCCCATTCATCCCTGGCCGGGCAATAATTAGCATTGATTCCATGATTCACAGCAGGCTGATCAATAATCTGTCTTTTTTAAGAAACCCATCGCTTTTATAGACAGTTACAATACAGACAGACTTAATTGGTCCTCTAATCAAAACACCATCAACACCGGTTAATTAAGAAACCACCCTTTGGTAAACAAATCTCCATAACAAATTCCACATGTTCACAACAACAAGTGCAGCAAGTGAAGATAAGAATTCTCATTCTTTTCTCTGATCTTCTCTCAGCCTTTCCCAGGACAATGCCTGGCAAAGTTATGCTGCTTTCTGTGGCCAGAGAGCTGCTGCCACACAGCCCTGCCCTCTGGCAGTGGAAGCCATGCCCCCTGGGCAGCCATGCCCCCTGCCCCTGGGCAGCCATGCCCCCTGTACCCTGGGCAGCCATGCCCCCTGTCCCCTGGGCAGCCATGCCCTGTGTTCCATGGGCAGCCATGCCCCCCGTGCCCCCTGGGCAGCCATGCCCCCTGCCCCATAGGAAGCTGTGCCCTGTGTCCCCCGGGCAGCCATGCCCTGTGTCCCCTGGGCAGCCATGCCCCCTGTGCCCCCTGGGCACCCATGCCCTGTGCCCCCTGGGCACCCATGCCCTGCGTTCTGCTCAGATTTACCCACTCAAGGGAAACGTTGTTGGGGTCCAGGTCCTTGCCAGTGCCTTGGTGAACAACCTTCATGGAGAGGGAGAGCTTCAGCTTGTCATCCTTCATCTGCAAACCACACAATTAGCAGGATGAATGACCTAACGATGCTAATGAACTCCCAGGGTGTTTGACTTTAATTAGGGTTACCTCTCTCCCGATGAGCTTGACCCAGACCTTGTCCCCCACGTCGAGCATCTCTGCGGGTTTGTCCACGGGGCAGGAGGACATGTGAGTCCTGTGCACCAGGCCTGCAGGGAATGGGAGAGAGGGACAGGAACAGTCTGTCACCTGAGAGAGGGGACAGGAACAGCCCCAGCTGTGTCACACTGAGAGAGGGGACAGGAACAGCCCCAGGTGTGCTGCCACCCTGCAGGTCCTCAGGGCATGCAGGGAATGCTGAGGGGTGTGGGAAGAATGTACTAGGGTTAATAAATTATCAATAAAGTAATTATAAAACATAAATATAATTAATTAATTATAAATTAATAGACAAGTTAATAAAATTAATAAGCTAAAATAATAACATTAATAGAATTAATAAAATAAAATTAATGAAATTTGTAATAAAATTAGTAATAAACTAAAACAATAATATTTATACAGCTAATTAAGAAATTCAATAATAATATGAATGAAAATAATTAATAAAATGAATAAATTAATAAGTGAAATTTTAAATTGATTAGTGTTCATTTAATCCTCTGCTCATCCTTTTTTCTGTTCTATAGACAATTCTCCACTGAACCTCAGATTTGCAGTTTCCAAAGTGGCTTGGAGCAGATAATCCTTTGGGGAGTGGGAAGAATGTGTTTTACACTATTAATAGAGTTTTAAAACTATTTATTTTAAAAAGGTTAAATTTAAATTTATATGTACATATGTACATTGTATGTCAATTTATTTGTTATTTATATTTTTTAATTTAAATTTATATTTATCATAAATTAAATTTATTTTTAAAACTTTATTTCTTCTTTAACTCATTTTGAATTTCTATTTTTTGATTATTGTTTATAATGCAGGTACCACCAGTAAAGCTGTAATATTAACAATAAATACAAGTAATAACCATATTTATAAATAACAAGTACCTTTATAAATAATAATTATATTTATGAATAATATATAATAATAAAGAAATTTGTGAATAATCTATTTTTTAGTAATAGATGTATTTTGGAGGTTGCTCCAATTTTTGAACTGCTATGACAGGTGACACCACCCCAAACTGGATGGGAATTTGGGTACTCACAGTGGAGAGGAGGGTTCTGCAAGTAATAAATATATTTATAAAACTAAATATCCTTAGGAATAATAAATAATAACAAATATATTTGTGAATAACATATTTATTCACAAATATATATTATTCCCAATATATTTACTATTTATTCACAATATATTTTATTATGTTATTAATATTATTATATTCAATATATTTTTCATAGAAGTATTTTAGAGGGTGCTCCAGTTTTTGACCTGCTTGGACAGGTGACACCACCCCACCTGGGCTGGAATTTGGGAACTGCCAGCAGAGAGCAGGGTTCTGTAAGTAATAAATGTATTTATAAAAATAAATATATTTATAACACAAATATCTTTATAAAAATATTTATTAATAAATAATAGCAAATATATTTGTGAATAATATATTCATTCATATTACATAGTATGACTTATTATAAAAATCATAATATAGAATAATTTTGTTAATATTATTATGTTAATCATATTATTATATTCAATATATTTTTCATAGAAGTATTTTAGAGGGTGCTCCAGTTTTTGACCTGCTTGGACAGGTGACACCACCCCAGCCTGGGCTGGAATTTGGGAACTGCCAGCAGAGAGCAGGGTTCTGTAAGTAATAAATGTACTTATGAAAATAAATATATTTATTAATAAATAATAGCAAATATATTTGTGAATAATATATTCATTCATATTACATAGTATGACTTATTATAAAAATCATAATATAGAATAATGTTGTTAATATTATTATGTTAATCATACTATTATATTCGATGTATTTTTCATGGAAGTATTTTAGAGGGTGCTCCAGTTTTTGACCTGCTTGGACAGGTGACACCACCCCACCTGGGCTGGAATTTGGGACCTGCCAGCAGAGAGCAGGGTTCTGCAGTGTGAAAAATGTGTGGTTTGTGATGGGCTTTTCACAAATATTCAAATGAATGTTAGATGCGTTATGTTAGGTAATATAGAATAATGTTGTTAATATTATTATGTTAATCATACTATTATATTCGATGTATTTTTCATGGAAGTATTTTAGAGGGTGCTCCAGTTTTTGACCTGCTTGGACAGGTGACACCACCCCACCTGGGCTGGAATTTGGGACCTGCCAGCAGAGAGCAGGGTTCTGCAGTGTGAAAAATGTGTGTTTTACAATGGGCTTTTTACAAATATTCAAATGAATATTAGATGTGTTATGTTAGAAAGTGATGCTACTTGAACTTTCTGAAGTAGTGTGAGAGATAGTTTGAGGTTATAACAAAGTGGTCAAATAGAAACCATGCTGTGGAAGATGCTTTTCAAAGAGAGGAATGAGGGACTTGCAGCAGAGCAGCCACAGCACACCTGGATCTTTCAGAGAATAAAGAGAATTTACTGATCCCTTGTCAGAGGGAATTCACTTCTTCCTGCCTCCTCAGCCCTGAGGAAGAGGGAGCAGCTGCCACTGACCAGCCAGAAATAATTCCCTTTGTGTGAATGGGATTTGTGCATCAGGGATGAGGTGTAAGAACATGCAGCAGGCACTGCTTCTAAGGGTTAATCCCCTGGTAACCTCGGCCACCCCAAATCCCCCTGTGCCACCCCAAATCCCCCTCAGCCACCCCAAATCCCCCTGTGCCACCCCAAATCCCCCTTTTCCTGCCCCATTTCCCCCTCAATCCCCCCAAATCCCCCGTGTGTCCTTTTTCAGGCTTATTTCACCCACAAAGAGGTACCTGGACAGTCCCCAACTCCTTCTTTTATTGGCTCATATTGTCCTAATCCTAATTGTCCATACTTTTATTTCTCTAATTATATAACTATCGTTATAACCATTTTATTACTATTAAACTTTTGCAATTTAGAAACAGGTGATGGGTGTTTTTCAGATGCAGGAGGAGCAGTCTGGGAGCACTGGGCTGTTCCAGCCCCACTCCAAGGCACTTTGTGCCTCCCCAGCAGCCACAGTCCTGCCCAAAACCCTGCCCATAACCCTGCAGGGAGCAGGGAGAGGTTTCCTGGGGACCTGCAGCTGTCCCACTGTCACAAACACAGCTTAAATCTGATTTTCCACTTATCTGCATTTCATTAATTTATTTAGTTTCATTTATTTTGTTGTTTTAGTCTTTTTTCTCCACTCTTTTCCACTGACCATTAAAAGGAGGAAATTGGGCAAACTGCAGAATTTCTACAGTTCTGCCATTACCTTCAAGTGGTTCTATAAAATATTCTTATTTTAGTTATCAAAACCTCCACTAAAAGATTCTGAAGGTACCAAACCCCCAAAATACACAGAATTTACCAAAATCCCACCCCAAATATCCTGAAGTTAACAAAAACTCCTTTGAGTCTTCTATGGTAATCATGCAAAAGTCCATCAGATTCTAAATGCTTTCCAAGTTTATTCCTAATTTAGGAAAAATTCATTTTCTGGGGTTTTTTTTGTGGGTGGGTTTTTTCGTTTTTTGTTTTTTTTTTTTTTTTTTTTTAAAGTGATTGGTTTTTTTTTTTTGTTGTTGTTGTTGTTTTTGGTTGGTTTTTTTTTTTTTCTGAAAGCCTTTAATTCTGAGCAGGCTGCTTGCCTTGGCTACAGCAACAATGAAATAATTTCACAGACACCAACCTTGCTTCCTGCAGCCTGGGATTTTGATAAAGGCCCCATAGTCTGTCACTGCAGCAACCTGGGGAGAAAACAAACAGCAGAGCTGGAGAAAATCCCAAAGAGGGGAGAATGTGCACAACAAACCTGCCCAGCTCACTGACCTGGAGATGGGCAGAGAATCAGGGAAGGGTTGGAGGGACCTTAAATTCCACCCAGTGCCATGGCAGGGACACCTCCCACTGTCCCAGCTGCTCCCAGCCCCAGTGTCCAGCCTGGCCTTGGGCACTGCCAGGGATCCAGGGGCAGCCACAGCTGCTCTGGCAATTCCAGCCCAGCCCCTCCCCACCCTGCCAGGGAACAATTCCCAATTCCCAAGATCCCATCCATGGCTGCGCTCTGGCAGTGGCAGCCATTGCCTGTGTCCTGTCCCTCCATCCTTGTCCCCAGTCCCTCTGCAGCTCTCCTGGAGCCCCTTCAGGCCCTGCCAGGGCTCTGAGCTCTCCCTGGAGCCTTCTCCTCTCCAGGGGAGCCCCCCCAGCTCTCCCAGCCTGGCTCCAGAGGGGCTCCAGCCCTGCAGCAGCTCCGGGGTTTCCTCTGGGCTCTCTCCAGGTGCTGCTGCTGTTGGAATTGTGAGCTCTGCAGGTGGGGAATCACCCGAGCGGGGCAGAGGGGCAGAATCCCCCCTGCCCTGCTGCCCCAGCCCCGCACACAGCTGTGCAGAGCTGCCCGCGCCCGGCCCCGGCCCGCGCCGAACCCACAGAAGGAATTCACGCCGAGCCCGGCCCCGGCCGCACCTCGCCCTGGAAGATGGAGTAGAGCTCGGGGAGCGGCTCCATCGCCTCCCGGGCGCCGCGACAGCCAGCTGGATCCACCGCGCGCTACCGCATCTCCTCCGGGATGCTGAGAAAGGAAACATTTCATCAACGCCCGAAAACCCCGGAGCCCTCGGGGCTCAGCGGCTTGAGCAGCGCGGGGATGGGCCCGAGCGGCACTGCCCGGCGCAGGACTGACCCGGAGCGGCGCGGTGGGACAGGACGGCTGCTCCCGGAGCCCGCGGGGCGGTGCGGACTCGTCAGCGCCGGCGGCGGCAACACCAGCGCGGCGCCATCCCCTCAGCCGCCATTCCCCCCTCACGCTGAGAGCCCGCGCTCCCCGCCAATCACAGCGCGCAATGTTGCCGTGTGCCGGCCAACAGCCAATCGGCGTCACCCATGCTACCCAGGGCCCGCTCTCCCCCAATCAGAGCGAGGCGCGCCAGAACGCGCCGCGCTCCCCGCTCCATCCTCGGCGCGCCGGCACCGTGTCGGGGGGCGGGACATCCAGGGCGCTCCGCCAATCAGCGCGGCGGGCGCGGCGCCGACAGCCAATGGGGCGCGGGGGGCGGGGCCCGGCGGCCGCCATGATCGAGCAGCAGAAGCGGAAGGTTCCCGGGCCCCCCGCG